ATCAAAGATGTGCCTGGCGACCGCACCACCATTGATCTCACCCAGGATGAGAACCAGTACTCCATCGGTAACCTGAAGCCGGACACCGAGTATGAGGTGTCCCTCATCTCCCGCAGAGGTGACATGTCCAGCAACCCGGCCAAGGAGACCTTCACAACAGGTAGTGGGCCTTCCCCGGTGAACAGCCAGGAAAGAAGGGTTGTGAGACTTCCATCCCACTCTGCTGGGGTTCCTTCCAGGCTCCTCTGACAGTAGAAATAGAAATAGACAGTAGAAAGGGAAATTTCATTCCTTAAAATGTTTATTTAAAAATATTGTAGCGATTGATCAACTTTTTCAAGTAAAAAAAAACTCTATCCAAATAACCTTCTAAAACACACACACACACACACACACACACACACACACACAAAAGCATACTGGGAAGGTGCTGGTTTGACAATCTCAGGTAAAAGAAGTTCTGATTAAAATAAAATTCATGTAAATATTTCCATAATAAAAGACAGTTTATGGAAAGCATGAATAACAAAGGTGCCTCTGGCATTCCTTTTTTTTAAAGATTTTATTATTTGAGAGAGAGAGCACAAGTGAGGGTAGGGGCAGAGGGAGAGGGAGAGAGAAAACCCAGAAGCCGACTCCCAGCTGAGCACGGAGCCGGACACGTGGTTTCATCCAGGCCCTTGAGATCATGATCCGAGCTGAAAACGGAGACTTACTGACTGAGCCAGCCAGGCACCCCTGTGGCATTTTCTTAGAAGTCCCAATGGATCCATCGATCATTGAGTCAATAAATATTTTTTCAGAGCTCAGAAACATATGAATTATTAGAAATACAGAGATGGGCACAGCAGACAAGTTCTTACACTCACAGACCTTATTCGTAAGTTTCTGTGTAGTTTTTTCTTTTTTTTTTTTTTAAGATTTTATTTATTTATTTGGCAGACAGAGATCACAAGTTAGGCAGAGAGGCAGGCAGAGAGAGAGGAAGGGAAGCAAGCTCCCTGCTGAGCAGAGAGCCCAATGCAGGGCTCGATCCCAGGACCCTGAGACCATGACCTGAGCCAAAGGCAAAGGCTTTAACCCACTGAGCCACCCAGGTGCCTCTCTGTGTAGTTTTTTTAAGCATAAAATCTGAGGAGCATGAAAATGACTAGAGTATCACACACATTAATAACGGGGAAAGGTAAACAAATAAGTAAAATAAAATAAGGGCAAAAGAGGTGCCTGAGATGCAGTATTTGTTAGATCTGTCCGTTGGGTATTGAGTTGAGGGGGTGTTGCCATTTTTTCTCCAGGCACAGGTGCGTTTCATGTCTCAGCTTGAATTTTCAGACTCCCGCTCTCCTAGTGCCTGGTGTTTTCAATGCAAATGTCTCTTCCTCTTCCAAACAGGCCTGGATGCTCCTAGGAATCTCCGTCGCGTCTCCCAGACGGACAACAGCATCACCCTGGAATGGAAGAACGGCAAGGCGGCCCCTGACAGTTACAGAATTAAGTATGCACCCATCTCGGGAGGTGACCACGCCGAGGTTGAAGTCCCACGGAGCCAGCAAGCCACCACCAAAGCCACGCTCATAGGTGAGCTCTGCCTCCCAGACCCAGCCCACACGCACACCAGGTTGGGAGGGGTGGGGCATGTCCCCATTTTGCAGCCCCCCACAGAGAGAAAGAAGTGCAAACCCAGCAGTTCTCTCACTTGGACTTCAGCGAGACAGTCTGTAGAACATACCAGACACTGAGAGATCATAGGCTCCAGTGACAGCTCAGGACTGTCTTCATGATCCTCTGAAAGTCTTCCCAGTTTGGGGCTAAATATCCACCTGCACATTCTCCCTTAGGTTTGAGGCCGGGAACTGAATATGGGATCGGAGTGTCTGCTGTGAAGGCTGACAAGGAGAGCGATCCAGCCACCATCAATGCGGCCACAGGTGAGACAGCCATTGGTCCCCACCACCTCTGGGCTGGCGCTGGCAGATGCACTGGGGCCCAGGAGGCAGAAAACCTATTTGGAAAGAAACAGTAGATGCACAGAGGAGAAAGCGGCCCCTAGAATCATCTAGCCCAGATGTCCAATTCAAAAGTAACGTAAGCACACCGCATCTTAATGATTCTAAAGGGGAATGAGGTTTTTTTTTTTTTTTTTATGAGAAATTGGAACCAGATTTTATAAGAAACCTGCAAACTTTTTTTTAAGTTCATAATCAGTTCTTTTTCTTTCTTCTTCTTCTTTTTTTTTTTTTTAAATAAACCACAGTCTGATCAAAACACATCTGGGAGGTTTTCTTTTAGGAAACACCTGACTTTTATAGTATACCCTTGTCCTACAGACAGTAAGTAGCAGGAACATAGTTCCAGACAGACTGTGCTCTTACTTTCATCCTGAAGTTCCAGGCTCTGGAAGAGGGTGATGAGGAAGGAGCTGTATGATTTGAAGCCATTGATTCTTTACTCAAGTTTTCTCCCCTCCCTGGAAAATTTGTTAAAAGAAAATTTTTCCCTCTACTTTTCCACCAGCCTCTTCCATCCTTCCCCCAGTCACTGTGGAGAAAAGGGGTCTGGTGTGCAAAGGGGATGAAGGTCATGCCTCATAGAGCTTCCCCATTATGGACTCAATGCTGACCACTTGCACAAACACACTTTTTTTTTGTAAGATTTTATTTATGTATTTGACAGAGAGAGAGATCACAAGTAGGCAGAGCAGCAGGGAGAGGGAGAAGCAGACTCCCCAGTGAGCAGGGAGCTCAATGCAGGCCTCTATCCCAGGACCTTGGGATCATGACCTGAGCGGAAGGTAGTTGCTTAACTGACTGAGCCACCCAGGTGCCCCACACACTCTTTTTTATCTTTTTCTTTGGAGGTAATTGTCAGTTCACATGCTGTTGTGAGAAATGACACAGAGAGATTCCCCCTAAACCCTTTGCCCACTTTCCTCCAATGGTTAACAACTGTGTAATCATTGAACAATATCACAACAAGGAAATTGACATTGACACAATCTATCAGCTTTATGTATATTTCACCGGGCAGTACATGCAGCTCATTTTTGTAGGTGGGTATACTTAGCCCTACACCGTTTTTTTTTTTTTGGTTTTTTTTTTTTTTTTTTTTTTAGATTTTATTTATTTATTTGACAGATAGAGATCACAAGTAGACAGAGAGGCAGGCAGAGAGAGAGAGGAGGAGGCAGGTTCCCTGCTGAGCAGAGAGCCCGTTGTGGGGCTCGATCCCAGGACACTGGGACTATGACCTGAGCCGAAGGCAGAGGCTTTAACCCACTGAGCCACCCAGGCGCCCCTAGCCCTACACCGTTTTATCCTGAGCAGCTTTTCTCATCCATCGGTATGGTTAAGACACAGAATAGTTCCATCACTAGGGTCGCTTTTGTCCCCTTTTTTTATAGCCACAGGCAACTCCTTCCCTCCCTCCCCCTCTCCCTATCCCTGGGCAATCCCCAGTCTTCATCTCTGTACTGTTGTTATTTCAAGAATGCTACATATAAGGAATCATACAGAGAATGCAACCTGCAGAGAGAGGCTTTTTCACTCCATGTAATTCTCTCAAGGTCCGAGGTCTGTTCAAATTGTTCCTTGTGTCAACAGTCAGTTCTTTTTAGATGCTTTTAACTGAGTAATATTTCATGGTATGGATATATACCACTATATCCTTTTTAATCTTCCAAAACGTGAAAACAGACCCAGACGAGGAAGTTGCCTGCAGCCATACAGCCCCTGTAGAGCAGAGCTGGGATGCTTAGCCCAAAGCAGCCCTGCCTCCCCGCCTGAGGCCTGGACATCTCTCTGCTTTCCTCCCAGACATGGACGCACCCAGGGACCTGCGCGTTTCTGAAACCACAGAGACCAACCTGACCCTGCTCTGGAGGAGGCCTTTAGCCAAGTTTGACCATTACCGCCTCAACTACAGCCTGCCCTCCGGCCAGCCGGTGGACGTGAAGCTTCCGAGAGACACCACGTCCTATGTCCTGAGAGGCCTGGAGCCCGGGAAGGAGTACAGCATCCTCCTCATCGCCGAGAAGGGCAGACATAAGAGCAAACCCGCACAAGTAAAGGCATCCACAGGTGAGGTCAGCCTCTGAGCTCTCTCCAGACCCTCTGCTGATTCTGAGGTTTGCAGACCCGGAAGTCAGGCTGTCTCCCCAGGGGAAAACCAGGTGGGAAAACACACAACTTTCTCTACATAGTGCTTTGAAGGAGCTACTTAAATCTCTTTACCTTTGTCAACTGATTCAGCGAAGTCTTCTTGCTGGGAAATCACTAGCATTTTCTAAGATATTTCTTCCTAGGAGAACTTAAAGCACCGGGGTTTGTGTTTGTCTTGGGATTTTTAAATTTTATTTTATTTTGTGCATTTTACAGAGTTTTTTAAACCATTTCTTATTTTTTTGTTCCCCTTCTTTAGCCTAACAATGAATTTACTTCTCATTTTATTTTTTTTTCAAGATGACCAAGGTGTTGGTAATAATTTTTTGGTTTTTTTCCACTTAATGTTTTTTATGTTTATTTACCATTATTATTTTTTTTTTTTTTTTAGTAATTTCTACACCTAACGTGGGGCTCAAACTTATGACCCCCAAATCAGGAGTCACGTGTTCTACCGACTGAGCCAGCCAAGCACCCATCCCACTAAATGTCTTTATTTCAGGTCTTCTGCTTCCTTCCAAGGTTACCTGAAAAGTTGCATCTGATCCTTGGAGGCTAGCACAGTGCCCTCCCCATTTTCTCTTTTCTCTTAGTCTCTAAGAGGCAAACTTCTTTTTTCCATGACAGCTAAATCCTGAAGTGTGGTGTTCCTTCTAGCCCAATATCCTGTTCCTGGTACCTGCTGCCATAGTTCCTCAGTGGCTAAGTTGAAAAAAATAATCAGAAAAAAAAATCCATTCTTCCAGTATGAAAAATATGTGCACGGAATTGTGGCCCCAAACTATTCAAGAGGTATGGGTGAAAAATGTTAATTCTTCAGGGCTTGACAAGGAAAGTCTTTAGTCTCAATTTAGTCTTTATTGAGAAAACCCACTCAATACATTGTAGTGTGCTGATATCTAAGGGGAAAGTGAGTCCTGTACTTAGCATTGTTATTTTCACTCATGTGCTCCTGCTCACTGTCTGTGGGGAAAATTAGACAGTGGGAATATTAGATTGAGCGCCATCAAGGAAAGGGGGTGATTGGGAGAATCAGGGTCAGCTGGAGAAAGTGTCACGGCAGAGATGTTAGTCCAACTCAATCTTGATAAGCAGAAAAGAAGTCGTAATGATGGGCAAATCTGGAAATGGCCTTGAAGAGTCTTCGTCATTTATGAGTACCTTCCCTTGCATATAACAGAGAACTCAAAAAACAGTCACTTCAGCAAAATGGAAGTTGGTTTCTCATAAGGTAAATCTGAAGCTAGGTGGTTCAGGTCTTGGGTAATAGTGCCAAGTTATCAGGGACTTGGTCTCCTTCTCTTTTTCTGTTCCACCATTCTTAGTCCTCGGCTCCATTCCCAAAGTCACTTCCATGTCACAATATGGCTGCCACAGTACAGCCTTCACATCTGTGTTCTAGGCAGCCTGAAGGAGGAAGAAACAAAACCAAGAAGGAGTACCTCCTAGAAGAGTCTTTCTGGAAACTTCACCATTGACTACTACTCATATTTCATGGGCTACTCCACGCTATAAGCAAGTCTAGGAAAAGTAGTCTTCTGGCTCAGCTTGTTGCTGCCCACATAAAATTATGGTTGTTTATAAGAGAGAGAGAAGGGATTATTGGTAGACAAAGAGCAGCCTCTTCACAGAGTCTCAAGTGAGCTCAAGTGGTCAATTCTGTTGACTTTGCACTGCTTCCCACCCATCTATGAGATGATCATCAAGGCATTCTGGAGGGACAGTTCAATCCTAGGTAAGGAGGGGCAACATAGAATCCAGAAAAAATAGTTCTCTGGTAGAGATTTGAGTGTTTCAACTTTATAATCATGAGCTTGTCAGAAGGTGTCAAGGGACAGCAAATGAACCTGAAAAACAAGAGAGAAGACATTTCTTTCTCTTTGTTCTTCCTACTTCCTCTCCTCCTCTTCCTTCTCTCTCTCTCTCTCTCTTCCCACTTTTCCTTGCATTTGACAAATGCTATAGCAAAGATTTTCTATCTCTACTTCATTTTACTCCATTTTACTCTCTGGCTGTAGGTAGGTTATCTCCTGTCTCCAGCGGAGAAGCCCCAGACCTCAGCAGCTCAGGAAGACAAAAGTTTTCAAGTGAACCACAGGCTGAGATTACTTTGTCTCCAACTAAAAGCCCAGTTTTGGCATCCCAAAGACTCAGTGGTTTCATTTCCTCCACCACACATCCTTAATATGGTTTCCAAAAAATCACGTTGTCTATTTAAAGACATCTTTCATTTCAGGGGAAAAAAAAATGTGCAGAGTCCCTTTTATTGGCTCTTCCCCCATGGTCTCCAGAATATTTTTCCGTAGGGCTTTCTCCATAGGACAGTTTTATTTCATTAAAAGTGAGGTGGACATCTCTTTCCTTCTCTCGAATTCTATCTTTTCAAGTCTTCTACGTTACTTGACCAGTAATGTTTACAGCTGAAATCTGTGCACTAAGTTCTAGGGATTCTAGATCAATTAGGATTAGGATAGATGTGTGCTGCTGAGGAACTTGCTGATACACAGCCCGACAACACAACACTCCATTTGCTAAAGCTGGGGGAACAGAGAGTTCAGCAGGAACATGGGATGATTTCTGGGCATCAGGAAAGGCTTGAGATGGGCGGAAACTCTTGCGCAGACACATAAAGGCAAACAGGACTGTGCTGAAGATTATGGAAATAAGTACAAATATAGGCTTGACCTCGTACCTATGAGAAGAAGAAAGAAACATATCACACGGGACCTCCTGAGCAAGTGTACTTATGGGATTTTGAGTCCCAAGATGTCACAGGCCCATAGGTTCAAACCTCAGAAGCAAGAGACTCCCCATTCTGCATTGCTAGATTCCTTTTTTTTTTAATTTCTTTTTTAAAAATATTTGTTTATTTATTTGAAGGAGAGGGCATGAGCAGGAGGGGCAGAGGGAGACAGAACAGGAGAGAGACTCTCAAGCAGACTCCATGCTGAGTGCAGAGCCTCTGATACAGGGCTGGATCCCACAGTCTTGAGATCATGACTTGAGCTGAAACCAAGATTGGATGCTCAAACCACTCAAGCAGCCCCATCACTGGATAAGAGCACAAGTCTGCAAAGGGGTCTTATGGAGAAGATGTGGAATTGGCTGTCCCCAGAGCAGTTTTTCCCCAGGGAATTCCAGAGCTCTAACCATGGAATTGAGCCAAAGGGCAAACTTTTTCCTTGACGCAGAACCAAATTAAAAGTATGTGTAAGCCAGCTGCCCATCACACCTGAAATAAAATCCAGAGACCCTACCACAGCCTACATGGCCCTAAAGGATCTGTTCCTTCCAGTCTCTCTGACCTCACTCCCACCATTTATCCCCTTGTTCGTTTCACCCTGGTCACCCTGGCCTTCCTGCTGTTCCTTGAGTATACCAAGCCTGCTCCTACCTCAGGGCATTTGCGCATGCTATTTCTACTGTCCAAATACTACTCCTCTCCCGGTTATTCATTGGCATCCCCCTCATTTTATTTAGCTCAAGTGATTTCTCAGCAGACTTCTCTGGCCACCAATCTGAAATGGTGTTTCCATCCTGACTGACTCCTTCATGCTGCTGCAGAATTCCTTACCTGCCCTGATATTTTTCAGTAGTTGGTTTATTTGCCTATGACCTGCCTCCTACTACAGACCAGAATGTAAAGACTCTGTCCCCTTTATCTAGTGATGTGCTGTATCATCCCCAATGCCTTAGACAGGGCCAAGCATAAGACATATGCTTCATGAGGCTTGGGGAACCCTAGCTACTCCAGAGTGGTAATGTTTCCATTGAATCTCCTGGTCTTTTCCTTCTACTTCTGCATTAACAGCCCAAATTCCCTCTGTTCAGGATTAAGGGAAGAAAAGTTACTCTGTTGTCTTCAGTTAAGCCTACTCTAGATAGAAAAGGAAGGAAAGAGAGGAGGGAAGGAGAAAGGAAAGGAGGGAGGATCGGGAGAGGGAGGGAGGGAGAGAGAGAAGGAAAGAGAGAAAGGTAGAAGCCCATTAAAGTTGAGGAAAATTAATGTGTGCCAGGCATCTCCCCCATGCTCCACACCCTGCATTTATATTTTGATAAACTCAATGAAACCCCACTTAAAGTGGAGGCCATGAATTTGCTGTGAGCACGAGGGACATAGAGCAGAGAGAATATGAAAAACACAAGGCCAAGAAAGCATCTTTCCTTACCAGCATAGGAACTCATCTGTGATACCCCGGTAGTTCTCATAGGTTTGGAAAGCAGAACGGTGGCATTTTGCTTGTAGTCACAGCTGCAAGTAACAGGGAACATTCTGCTGTGATACCATTTTGATTTATTCATGGAGCAAACCGAATTTATTCAAATATTTAACCCTCCAACAAATATTTATTACTTACCTGCTATGGGTCGGGCAATGCTGGTGTCTCTGTAGAACAGGAAGGCACACAGTGAGGCACACTGCAGTGAGAAAGAAAGAACTGAAACCAAAATTATAAGACTATAACTAGTCTGTTTTAGAGGGAAGTTTGGGAAGCTATGGGAGCAGAAACAAGGATCCATTCCAGACCTGAGCAAAGGGAAAGATGGATACCAGAGAAGGCCTTTTGGAAGACGTGACACTTGGCTGAGTCTCCAAAGAGGAAAGGAAGTGCGGAAGGGGGTAATGACATTTCCAGCAGGAGGAACAGCATGTGAGAAGACATGAGCCACTTCCTACTAGTGAAACACAGGCTTCCCAGTCCTGCCCTAAGATAGAGTAGGAGCACAGCAAGGTATGGGGTTCGAGACATCATCAGAGACTGTCTACGAAGGGCAGTGAATATCGTGCTAAGGGGTTTTGACTCCATTCTTGACAGTGATAAAGAGTCACTGAAAAGTTTTAAGGCAGGCAAGGCATTTAATTTTGATTATCTTGACTTTGCAAGGTGAGATCAAAGCAATTAACTCTACCCTTTGGGTCCTCAGGCTTGAATTTGGCCATCCACCTGCTTTGGGAGAATCACTCTCTCCCATCAGTGAACGCCGCAAGTGAATTCCTAATTAGCTAGCACTTGGTAATCACCATCTACAAGATGGTGGAAGATTTAAAGCTGGCACATCAGAAGGTTTAAAGTTGGCACAGCCAGAAATTCCTCCAGGCCAGCTGGTCAACCCACCCTGAGCATAGAAATGGGATTTCGAAATTCTGATTTCCCAGGCCCACTGACATTGTTCAGAGGGTAGATGCCAGTGCACAGCTGTAAGAAAAAGACAACAGCCTTTTCATAAAGAAATGCCAAGAAATGCAGTGTGGAACAACACAGCGGAAACACTGGGCTTTGGGGACAATAAGGCCACCAATGTGTCATTTGCTGTTGAAATGTAGAGTTTGCATTTATGTGAAACTTCTTAGTCCCCACCTCAGCTATTGTCCACTGTATTTTTGTTTGTAGCATTCCCTCTAATTTCATAATTATCCCTTCAATTTATCTCAATTCTATTCACTGAAGTTATACCTTTCACTTATCTGACTAGCATTTGTTTAGTGAGAAAGGGTGGGAGTAGGGGACGCCAATAGCACCCATGACAGAAACAGTCATAGTATGGCTCACTAAAGATAAACTGATACTCTTCCTTGACCTGCTTGTTAAAAAAAAAAAAAAGTAGAAGGATAGTCAAATGTTTTGGTGGAAACATCACCCTGATTATTACTATTTACTGAGCAACATGATGTTATGTGGAAATCATCTGTCAGCTGTAAGAATGGAGGGAGCAGGACGTGAGAGGTGTCATACAATAGTGTCAGTGGCATAAAAAAAAAACATTCTAGAGAGAAGAGATGGTTCTCCTCAGGAAGGGATAGTTCCCACTGCGCATCCTCTCCTGTCCTTTCTGCATCCATCTTTACTGCAAGAGCTTTCCTAAACCATCCCTGACCCACTCCTCCCCACCCCAGTTAGGTAACTCGCCTCACCTTCCCTGCAACAATGGTTCTTGACATTGTTTTCATGGGAAAAAATAAAAAAGGCTTTATGTCTGAATTAGAAAGACAGCTTAAAAAGCAGTTAGCTGAGAAGGAGAGATGGTGAATTAATCCACATAAAGAGGAAAATTGTCAGTGCCATCCAAGCTCCTCACAAGCAGTTTTGACAGCAGGAGAAAAGGAGAGGAAAGTGGGATGAGTCACAGGGGGCATGTGTGGATGATAGGATTAATCTCCCTACCCTTGAAGTGTGGCTTAGATTGGTTTTTGTCCTATATCTCTAAATGCATGAGGACTACTAGAATATTTGAAAAGGACACACTCTTGATTTTAGTTGTGCTTAAATCCCAAGATCAAGGAGACAACTGTTACATCAGTAGCAGTGCTTTTGGCCTCACAAGGGCCAGTGGGTTTAAGGATGGCTGACTTTCCCTTTCTTTCCCCAAAATGAGATGCATTGGGTCCTCTCTTTCTGATCAATATCACATTTGTGTGGTTAAGAACTGCTTCAGGTAAGCTTCAGGGCATAAATTTGCGTTATATGAGGAGCCCGTAGAGTGGAGTTCAAGATGAAGCATGGCCAACATTTTCTGTAAAGGGCCAGAGAGTAAATATTTTAGACTTTTCAGGCCATAAGTTTTCTGTCACAACTATTCAAGGACCCCTGTAGCACAAAAGCAGCCATCAACAATACATGAATTAACAAGCATGGCTGTTCCAATAAAACTTTATTTATACACCAAAATTTGAATTTCATTTGTATTTTCATATATTATGAAATATTCTTCTTTTTGGATTTTTGCCCCCAACCATTGAAAACTATAAAAAACTCTTGTTAACAGTTCATTACCAAAGTAGGCAACAGGCCAGACTTGGCCCTCGGATCATAGTTTGCAGACCCCTGTTCAGATCAAATAAGATTTGCTGGAGTGCAGGCTTTGTCAATGTGAAACACTAAGGAAGAACTTTTCCCAGAACTTGGAAAAGTCTGAATTAAATAGATTCTTGAAAATAAAGATTTTTTTCCCTCAGAAAGGATGTCTTCCATCCAGTCAAGCTAGGATTTTCAGGTTAGAAGTGTCCTTTAATGGACACATAGAGCTCTTTTGAAACTAGCAGCCAATGGGAGGCATAAATGGAGAAACAATTTGTTCTTTTAAATGAGCTCGAGGCAGTTCTTGCTCTGTTGTTTACAGGATCCCTTTCTAGAGAAAGTCCTTTATTCCTAGGTCACGAAAAGCCCACTTAAGCTCCGCCCTGGGTGAATTGTCACCGGGAAGGCATATTCAGACAGGTGTGTTATTGCTGTACTTTGTGTGTACAGGAGATGATTGAAGATGGCACCTTTGCTTTTAATTGAGCTTAATAAGCTCTGTTTGTCCAGGCCTCAGTCTTTCTCTCCAGTGAGGGACTGTTTTGCAAAGACTCCTCCCCTTCCTCAGTACAACCTTACTTGGACCGTGTTCATTTATCTCTGATCTTCCTAAAGTGGTTTTATGTAAACTGACTTGAGCCCCCGGAACTGACAAAAAACCCCAGCATAGAGACTATAAAACAGATCCTCTAGATGAGACTGAGGAAGCAAGATCCAATTTTCTCAAAATGCAGAAGACTGAGCATCCTGGGAATGCCTGGAGGCTGTTCCTTATGAGCAGCTTAGACCCAGCATCCTGGGAATGCCTGGAGGCTGTTCCTTATGAGCAGCTTAGACCCAGCATTCTGGGAATGCCTGGAGGCTGTTCCTTGTGGGCTCATCCTTACGATGACAGACACTTTCCATGATGGAAACCAAAGCCTAGAACACTACAAACATGGATGTGTAGAGTTTTCTAGATCCACAGGACGCTGGTCAGGAGGAAAATGCCATTTCCGAAAGACACAGGCAAAGAGGTAACAGGGAAAAATAAGTATTATACTGAGTTTTCTGTTGATGTTTTGATGGTGGCCATAGTGCTGGGGTTTACATTGAGAGAAACATGGCGATCGGCCCCACCCCAGCCCCCACGGCAGGCCTTTTCAGCGTTGGCAATGACTTTGCCATTTCTGGGTTCCCAGAAGGAAAGGAATTTGAGGAAGGGTTTAACTGACCCATCTCTGTCATTATTCAGGCCATGCCCCCGAACTGGAAAACCTCACCGTGACTGAGGTTGGCTGGGATGGCCTCCAACTCAACTGGACCACAACTGACCAGGCCTATGAGCACTTTGTCATTCAGGTGCAGGAGGCCAACGGGGTGGAGGCAGCTCAGAACCTCACAGTGCCCGGCAGCCTGCGGGCTGTGGACGTCCCGGGCCTCAAGGCCGCCACCCTGTATAGAGTCACCATCTATGGGGTGATCAAGGGCTACAGGACACCAGTGCTCTCTGCCGAGGCCTCCACAGGTACCTCTCTCTCATGCTTCCATTTCTAGCTCCTGCTGTCCCTAACAGGAAACCACCCACGGCTCATCAGACACGACTCACTTCTGAATGGACTTGGTCTGCCCCAGGTCATAGTGCTGTGGTGTCTCATAAAGGGGAGCCGTCAGGCTGTACGACTCCGGGGGCACCTTTGACAGCGCACCCCATGTGAACAACACCCTGTGGGGTTGTGCAGAGACCTGCCTGGGGACGATACCCACAGCCCCAGCGGCAGGGTCGTGAGCTTCATGGACTCCCTCCCAGGAAGGGATGTGAAGACATTATATTTAAGAGAAAAAAAAAAATCAGAACATTAATCTCCCTGTGCACTGAGGGTTGGGGCAACTCTTTAATGAAATAAGATATTTCATTAAATATAAATATAATAATATATATAATATATTTATAATTATAATAATTATAATATAATTATAATTATATTTTTATAAATTATATATATTTATATATATAATTTATATATTATAAATATATATTTTATAAATTATAAATATAAATTATAATTATAAATATAATTATAATATAATTATAATAATTATAATAATTATAAATAATACAAATATTTTTCTAGCCCTCATGCTCTTTGCTCGCTTTCTCAAATTCAGGAAGTTGCACGATGCATGTTTGTCTAGAGAAAGTCCTGTATTTTTCAGTAATATGAAGTCTACTCAGGTGTTCAAGGTTCCCTGGATCTTGCTGTATGATTTGATCATGAAACTCGTTCTTTGTCCTTCTGCAGGGGAAACTCCCGGTCTGGGAGAGGTTGCTGTGTCCAAGGTGCGCTGGGATGCCCTCAGGCTCAACTGGACTGCTCCGGAAGGAGCCTATGAACAGTTTTTCATTCAGGTGCAGGAGACCGATGCGGTCGAGGCGGCCCAGAACCTCACAGTCCCGGGAGGACTGAGGTCCGTGGACCTGCCTGGGCTCAAAGCAGCCACTCACTATAGTGTCACCATCCGTGGGGTCACGCGGGACTTCAGCACCACTCCTCTCTCTGTTGAAGTCTTGACAGGTATTCTAGACCAGTCCGTTAATCTGCTTCCTCCCCTTGTCTCTGCTCAGGGGGCATCCGAGCTCTTCCTGCTGTAAGCTGGGCTCAGCCACCCCCCCCCCCAGGGGAACACCGGTGAATCATTCCCACTTCCCTCCAAATGTCCTAGCCCTTATTTGGACATGTCCTGGTCCAGCATGGTAGCCAATTCCATGGAAAATTCCACCTACTCTTCCCTTACAAAAGTGAGAGGTGGCTTTTCTTTCAAAACAAGTTTCAATCATAATAGCTAAGGAGTTGGAAAGCACACTTTGCAAGTGGAAAAGAAAAAAAAACTGGTGTGAGCTCATTTTAAGAACACACTAAAAGATTCCCTAAAGCCCCATTTATATGTTAAGCATGGAAGTTATGAACAATTCCTAGAACTGTCTTTCATTCCCGGAGATTGAAGAGAAAAACCCTGGCTTTAGTGCCCACAGTTAGAGCATGCTCCATACCTGCCGTAAATCATGCATCTGTAATCAACACTCACCAGACGACTCCGCCCAGCCTCGGCCCGACGAGGGTCATCTTACCCGAATCCTCGCATGCAGTTCCTTTTTTTAGTAACTCGGCAACTCTGTGTCCTCATGCAGAAGAGGTTCCAGATCTGGGAAACCTCACAGTGACCAAGGTCGGCTGGCATGGCCTCAGTCTGGACTGGACGGCCCCCGATGGGATCTATGAGCAGTTTATCATTGAGATCCAGGAGGCTGACCGGGCCAAGGAAGCTCACAGTCTCATGGTTCCCGGGAACCTGCGCTCCGTGGAAATCCCGGGCCTCAGGGCTGGGACTCCTTACACAATCACCCTGCAAGGCGAGGTCAGAGGCCGCAGCACTCCACCTCTTGTTGTGGAGGCCATCACAGGTATAGGACCCTCCTCCCACACCAGAGACTTGACTGAGCCAACCTCCCTTTGGGATAGAGAACATTCCCCAAGCGTCATAGTTTCATCTCCATGCTCCTGACGGGCAATGCGAATGCAAGTTCTAACTTAGGAAGGTCTGGGTTGGAAGTCTGCTTTCCTGGCTGAATGCTCTTGGGTCTGTCATTTGACATATCTGAGCCTTCTTTCCTCGCCTTCAGTTCAGAGATATTACCCCACCTCAAAACGTTGTCCTGAGCAGTGAATGAAACCATGACCGAAAGTGCTTAGTTAAGCTCCCATCCTGTAGGAAATACTGAACAGCAAATAGGTTAATACATCAGGCAGCAACGTATCATAATGAAAATAGCAGAAACAGTAGGGCTGTGGCACAAGAATAAGGTCAAAAGTTTCTAGAGAAATCTTATCATGAGTAGCCTCACAGTCACTGATTGCCGTCCAACGGGTAGTCATGTGTCCATGGGATAACCTTTGAAATGATCTGGCCATCTTCAGCTGAAACTGTCCGAGTCTCTCACTCTCTCCTTAACAGACACTCAGGGCAGCCCGCACATTTCCAAAAGAGAGCAGCAGTCACATTTGACTCCAGTGTTTTTCATTCAGTGTGGAGAGGAAAAACAATTTATCTCAATTTGTCCCCTGGAAATATGCTGTTGCATCTGTTATAGGAAAATTCTGTGCTGTTTGTGAGGTTTTTAGAAACAGCCTGAAAGGGGGCAAATGAGCCAAATTTTTGGTGGGCTTTTATGCTGGGCCCTCAGCCCATGCCCTTTGCTATACGTCCTGTGTTTTTTTTTGTTTGTTTGTTTTTTTCTAATTTATTTGACAGAGAGAGATCACAAGTAGGCAGAGAGGCAGACAGAGAGAGGGAAGCAGGCTCCCTGCTGAGCAGACAGCCCGATGTGGGGCTTGATCCCAGGACCCTGAGATCATGACCTGAGCCAAAGGCAGAGGCTTTAACCCACTGAGCCACCCAGGTGCCCCCGTCCTGTGTTTTGATAATACCACCCATATAACCTCATTCAAATAATTTGTTCTTCTTGCTCACATATACCAAATAAATTTGGTCCTCGCGAGAAGGATTCCAAAAATGAGAAAGGTGATGTCGCAATCCACCAAAGCTGGCCAGGTTATATGGTCCTGTGCTGCTTGAAATATCTTCAGACCAAAGGAGCAAAAGGGGCTTTTGAGGCCCGTGTGGTCTGGATACGGGATGCTAGCGGTCTCTATCTGTAGTATGTAAACTTTTGTTTTGAGCAACAGAACTCCTTTTGCACATGAAATCTCACCAGGAACCCCACTCCACAACAGATAAATGGATAGCTCTTCTCAGTGAGCGAGGGAGGCAGAGGGCACTTCCTACACGGATAGCCCCCAGAAGCATCACGGTCATGTGGTACCACTTGAATCAGCCCCTCTAACAGGCTGAGTGTGCTCAGACTCACCACTGAGTCCTGAAATATCTAAGAATAAGTACTTCAGGGGCACCTTTTGTGGCTGAAATTCCTACAGATAATTCCTTTTCTAACTTCGAATCCATGGCCCCTTCAGCCTTTAAAAGGAGAAGAGCCTGGGGTTGCATTTTATCCTCAGAGGTGTTCCCTTCGGCAGTGGGCTTTGCCATGTTCAGAATCCAGACTTCCTAAATCTGCAATGAGAACTACATTAACTGTCCTTCCTACGTGGTGGAAAGATAGATAGTGGGCCCTGCTCTGCACCATTTACCAAGCAAAACATAATCACTTTTAATTAAAAGTGGGCCCTCATTTCGCACAAATGGCTTTGCTTCATGGTGCAGACATTCCTCATCCAGGCACAAAGTACTCACGGAAGGTGGGAGGGAAAGAACTGAGCCAAGATTCCAGCACAGAACATTTGATCCCTGAAAGCCAAGTAAAGTCCAGGGATAAAACAGCAGACTTGTCCAGACCGAGACAGCGTACACTCTATAAAGCCAGTCCGATAGCAGGTGGCCAGAAATTGGACAGTCTCTCCAACGTGAAGTCATGAAACGAGGCAGACAGTTGTTTCCAGTACCGCTGAGAAGCTCCAAGGGGAAACATCTGAACAGTGATGTGTTTGTTGTGCTGCCGCTTATGGGGCACTCACTGTGGGTCAGGTATGACCCTCAGGGGGGTTGTAAATGGTCTTTAAGCATCACACAGTCCAATGACAGGGCACTGTCCTCTCCCTCTATAGATGAAGAGAGTGAGACTCAGGGACGAGCTGCGTGATAGGTCCAAGACTCGCCGGTGGTTAAATACCATTGTTGGAGTTCCAACCAAGGCCCAGCCGCCTGCAAAGCCTTCACTTTTAACCATCCCTGCCCTCCTTACCCTGACCCGCAGTCCCACTTTGCCAGCTGCCCTGTGGGTTCTGGCCCTGCATGCCGAGAGCCCTCCCAGGTGGGTTGTTCAGTGGTCCGCTCTCTCAGTGCTCTCTCAGTGAGCCGTGCGGGTCTTCCCCTTTCTGGCCATTTGCAACTCCTAAAGAAAGCTGTGGCCAGGTTACGGGTATTCAAGCTGGAAATAAATGCCCAGAGACCAAGAAGGACCACACATGCCCAGGAATACTCTCCCACCTCTTTCTGTCTTGCGTAGAGCTGGGCTGTGGGACATTTTGGTTTCTTCCTTTTGTGCTTCGCGGAACTGACCGGTACCTCTCTGTCCTTCTTCAGAGGAGCTCCCCCAGCTTGGGGACTTAGCCGTGACCAAGGTTGGCTGGGATGGCCTCCAACTCAACTGGACCACAACCGACCAGGCCTATGAGCACTTTGTCATTCAGGTGCAGGAGGCCAACGGTGTGGAAGCAGCTCAGAACCTCACGGTGCCCGGCAGCCTGCGGGCTGTGGACGTCCCGGGCCTCAAGGCCGCCACCTCATATCGAGTCACCATCTATGGGGTGATCAGGGGCTATAGGACACCGGTGCTCTCTGCCGAGGCCTCCACAGGTACCTTCCTTCCCACTGCCGATGCCCCTCCCCAAGGCGCCTGCTTCTTCTCCAAGAGACTCTGCGGAAATCAGCTTCTCTCCCTGAGTCCTTCCTTCTGCCTCTTAACAGCTGCTCATGCATGCTGAGCGACAGCCCTGGGAGCTGTGCCTCGGTCTACAAGCCCCGGCCATTTCGAGAATGAATGATAGAGCCATTGCCTTTTCTGACCTCCAGCCTCTAGCCTCTCCCAGCCTTTACCTAGTCCTACCACTCCCTCTCTTTCCAAATGATGGCATTCTGTTTCAGGAGACAGCCTGATGGTTTTAATTCTCTTCTCCAGGGCTGGAATAGAACTAAAAGCCGTCCCCTCCCCTCGCTGTGTGTGAGTTCTGGTAGAGCACAGATTATTTACTTTAGAGAGTCCTTTTGCTAGTTGGAAACCAGTACTTTACGATCCCAGATCCCTCATGGGTATGGGTTCTGTGGTTCTTGCATTTAAAAGAAATGTTTTAATTTAAATGTTTCTTTAAAATGCACTGAGTATAATAAGAGAACTGAATTAACCTCCTCCGGGCACTTCTCTCAGATACTGAGTCATTGTTAAGACACCAAATTAGCAAATAGCACGACCAAAATGGGAAGGAGAAAAAAAAAATCACACAATTATGACTAGAGACAGTACCAAAGAAAAAGTCATTCATTAGGAGAAGTCCACACAGCAGCATTCAAAGCAAGGAATGTCCCAGGCTATGAATGTCAAAGATCTGATGCCCTTTTTGCTCTTTTAATCAAGAGGTGCTCCCTGGAGTGTTGGCCTCCGCGGGGCACAACCCAAGGGCCAACCCAGGAGGGTGCGTTAAATTCTACTCATCACTCTGCTGCAACTGGCAAGGTGGCAAGGCATTCAGTGCCCCCCAGGAGCCTGCCACAGTGAGCAGCCTTCCCAAGCACTGTTTACCTTTGCTCCCCTTCCTCCATGCCTCCACTGGGTAGAAGCTCAGCAGAGGCCATTGTGTTTGGTTCTGCAAGTGCTTGCCCCATTTTTAGATAGTTACTGCAACTAAACTTCCGTGCAAACCCATACAATCTCCCTGATTCTAGCAAAAGCATCACTCCGCATTTTAGCCTTAATCATGTCAATAATCCTTGCTGAGACAAACGTAATACAGACAGCCACTGTGTGAATGATGACCTTGAAACGCCCAGGAATTGCAACTGAGGCTACCCAGGATGGACCCAGGGTCCTTTGATCTGACATAGGGATCATAAATCATCCCTCCCCAGAAAGCAAGAGAAATCACTTGCCATTTCTGATCTTTCCTGCAGACCTTGTGGTTTGGGTGCCCTTAGTACTTTTATGTGTGTGGGGTTTTTTTTTCCCCTTTTTAATGATATCAACAGTCTTGTTTCTGATGAACTGGTAGGAGGGCAGAAGGGCCGTAATTCCATCCGATCTGTGTCTCACCACATCTGATGGGATGGAAAGGCCTTCTCCTTCCCTGCTAGAGAAGCAATATCAGCTCTTACCACCTTGCTTCTGCCTGCCCTCTGCCTAGTTTATTCCTGCTGCATGACAAAGTGTTGGTGGGGCAGTCTCCCAGACAAAATGCTATTTCTTGGCCGAACAGGGCGGCCTGAATCCCTTGCCTCTGCTCAGCTCTCCTGGTTGGCAATGCAGTAGTAGCTTTCTTGGCTCACGCAGAAGCAGTTAAGAGAGGACGAGCTTTTCCAACAGAATATGAAAACAGCCAGCCCTCATCAGGGGTATATACAGAGACAATACCAAGAACCACGCTGACGAGTTGCCGGTTCCCTTTAAGTCACAAAAGCAGAAGCCTCCAGGTACCACCTTGGGAGGGTAACAGCATCAGAATTACTCAGTCTTCATTTAACTAGATGGGAGTTCCTTCAAAGCAAAAAACACCCCCAGGAGGGTGCCAAGCAACTTTTGGTCTCCTGAGTGCAATTCAAGAGACTGAGAGCTGCCAGCACGCCTATCTTTTGAGCGATGGCCAGCATCCCCGCCGTGGGGCTCCCCGAAACATCTGAGCTTAGCTCCGCAGTTCCCGCTGACATCATCTAGATGGCTTCTCCCACTCAGGATCTCAGCCAGCCCGATCGCGTAAGGCAGCTCCAGAGCAGGAAAATCTAACTGCCCAACCTTCCTCTTGGTCTTCCCTTGTTAACAAATCCCCTCTGTCGCTCCCGTCGGCTCCGCCAGGTAACACCTGCCGCCTCTCAACTGTAACCTTGAACTAGCAGATCCTTCTGCCCAGCCGTGGTTCTATTAACAACCTCAGTCTTAAAACACAAGCTTGATCATTAACCCCCAATTTTTTTTTCTTCTCTCCTGCCCCCTTTTTCAGCCATAGGACCTGAAATTGGAAACCTAACTGTTTCTGACATAACTCCTGAGAGCTTCAATCTCTCCTGGACAGCCACCGATGGGGCCTTCGAGACCTTTACCATTGAAATTGTTGATTCCAATAGGTTCTTGGAGACGATGAGATACAATATCTCTGGGGCTGAACGAACCACCCACATCTCAGGGCTACCCCCTAATAATCACTTTGTTATCTACCTCTCGGGACTCGCTCCCAGCGCCCGGACCCAGATCGTCACCTCGGCCACCACAGGTACATCCGCTCTCTCCCATGTCTGACTCCTTCTCTCTAGGTCTCTGGAGTCTTCTCCGCAAGGGGAAGCCGCTCCTTCTCACCTGCTGAGGCCATAGCTCATGAACTTCTCCAGGAGGCAGGGCTGGAGCTCTGCTTAACCTAACTCTCTTCCCACAGCGGTCCCAATGGTAAATTTCCGTGAAGTCCCCTGCCTGATCTATTACTGACCAGGACACGTGCAGCCTTAAACATAGTCTGATCCAGATTGTCGAATGGAATCTGGAGAAAAGCATTCTGCCCTTCCATACCTAAAAAACCAGAGTTGTCCTTGATTTGGAAAGACATCTGCATCAATCAAAGAGGTCTTAAAAATTACATTTTGTGTTATCCTAGTTGACCTCCTAATACCCAAGTATCCCAATGATTTAATGAAACTGGTGCTATTTGTTTTGTTTCAACTGGGGAAATGTCCAAAAGAAAAAAAAAAGAGCAGGTTACTAATCAGATGGGGGCACAAGGAAGCTGTGCCATCCAGAATGCCCCAATTCTATCACCAGCTCTAGGAACAAAGACCTGAGCATGCTGTCTTGCCCCCAGAGAGTGAATGCTTGATTTCAAAAATCGAAGTAGTCATGTTTCAATAAGGAACTTGGTCAACCAAAGCATAAGTTGCTCTTACTTAAATTTGTACTGTCTGTGGTAGACATACTATGTGAGATATTCTCTGGGATGCAGCAAAAGGGCATGCTCTATCTGAATTTAGACAGGAGAAGCTTATCCATTCAAAATAGCATTCTTAGCCCATTTGGGGCAGTGAATCAGTAAATCAGAAAAGAGTTCACATCATAGCATCAAAATCGTCTATCACAGAAGTTACCCATGGCTGAAGGAGGGTCTATCCTCATTTTACGTGAGACTACAAATTGTCACCAGGGTGGTGGAGAGGTTGTCCCGGCCAGATTCAAGTACACTGAGACCTAGGGAAGAAAACCACCCAACCCCACCTCTTCTTTTCCCATGGCACAAACTGGGTTTCAACAAAGGACCTGTGTCTTTATCCAAGGGTGAGGTCTAAAACTTCATGGATTTAGTCTTATGTGTTTTGGTTTTTGACTCTGTAACCGTGTTTTAAACTGACACGCTTTCATATCTCTTTGTTTTCTGCTTACTTTAGTAGCCGAACCTCTCCTTAGCCACCTCACTATCTCAAATGTGACCTGGGCCAGTGTATCTCTGTCGTGGAAAGCCCAGGAGACTACCTTTGATAGCTTTCTTATAGAAATTAGGAATTCTGACCCCCGCCAGGAAACAGTGGTACACTCTCTGCCCGCAGTGTCTCGTAGCTCTGTCATCGCCAACCTCAATGCTGCTTCTAATTACACTGCCCACCTTCATGGGCTGATTGGCGGGCACCGTGTTCAGACTCTGACGGCCCAGGCAACCACAGGTACTTGCCACAATCGCTTCGTCTCTCTCCGTTGAACTTCCTCTGAGGGTGTAAAAAAAAAAAAAAAAATCACTCATTACCCATTTTTCATCCTCCTCATTCCTCCAGATCATTCTCAGATTTGATAGGGCCACCCAAATCAGAGCTTCAAAACCTAAAAAAAAGGAAGAAAGAAAGAAAGAAAAGAAAAGAAAAAAAAAGAAAAGCCCTCACCCCAAATTAAGGAACTTTGGCATCACCCTCTTTTTCCTAAATAGGCACTCACATCTGGAGTTGCTCTGTGTGTTTTATAGAATTAACCTGACTTGCCTTGGTTAAATTTCTAAATCATCCTTCCATTTGATCTTGAATAATCGTTTCTAGTTTCATCCACTTTATCATCTGCCTGTGGTCTAATCAAAGTTTACCTCTGTCGTATTCAAAGGGGTGCGTGCATGCCAGTTTTGGTCCCCTGATCAGAATGTTCTACAACCTCTTTCTCTCCCCCAAGATTCTGAAAAGTGGTGCCAGGAGCATGCAGAGAAAAGAGCCTAACGCACGTGAGAGGAATCAGTGGTCCCATCGTGTTCTTGAGAATTCTGTTTGCTTGCCTTCCCTACAAACAGACTATTCCCTTTTGACATTTACCCTATGAAGCATGCTTTGTCATTTACTGACAACTGTCACAAATTGTCAGTTTTCTTTCATCTGTCATCGTGTCCAGATCTTGGTGCATGTGGTGAACATTCAGAGAATTAAATTTCTGAAAAGATCCGTGTTTCCTGGAAGCAGACAGCATGCCCAGGAATTGTCTGAAGGATCAGAAGCAGGGACGGAAAGATGTCCCAGCTTGCACGGAGCACTGACCCTGCCTGCCCTCTCTATCTCTGAGGTCCTTCTTGCATTTCCCTTTTCAGCTTGGCCACCCCCTTTGGGAGCCAGCTGGAGGCCAAGCTGCCATGAGAACCTAGGTCTTACTCTGCATGGTGAATGTGTTCGCACTGCCAGTCTCTGTCTGGTGGCATGAGAAGAGTCCTAACATGCATCCTTACTTGGAGAGATCGCTTCCACAGCAAAATACAAGGAAGGAACAAATAAAGGCCTCTTGGGGGGTGGGGGTGGGGTGGTGTTCTACCTTCAGTGTGGTTGAAGTAAATTGCCAGGGTTGTGGCTAAAAATTAGAGCATCATTTGCTTCTCAAACGAGTCGCCGAGGAGGAGATCCCATGCCATCCCTTACGGCCGTGTTCTGCTTCTGAGCCAGATCCTTGTTACCCTTGGAGACTTTCTGGCATTGCATTAAGCTGTGCAATTGTCCAGTTAAGGTTTCTCCAGGTGCACCCCTTCTTTCCTCTTAACACCGGAGCTGCAGCCACACAACTCCCAAGTCCCTGGAGGAAATCATCTGCTTCTATCCCTAGCTCTAAAGGCTGGCCCCAGTACCTCAAGCCTCCAGAACCCTGCCTCATTCTAAGAGTTGGAGTTGAACTTATTTTCATGGTAGTATTACTTGATAGGTGTGCTTTGAGGAGGTCAGACCATCTACACCCCAGCTGAAACTGGTGGTACAGGCACCCTACATTAACAATGAGTCCCTTCATCCCTGATCTCCTAGTCCTCAAGGGACAAGAGAAACCTAACCTCCAGGGGAGCCAGCTATCTTTGCAAATTATCCAGTAAGTGGATTTTCTAGGCAGAAAATGCAACACCTCATTAAATTTTCTTTTAACTTCTGGATACACCAGGAAGGATTTCGTGAAAGCCATTTTACCTTTGCAGTACATAGGGTAGGGTGCAGATCTCCCTATGGTGTATAGGAAACTTAGGTTTCTAAATACTATGAAGAATTTCTCTTGTGTGGATATTAGCCTTTAATTTGTACAATCCAAACAGATCAAAACAAGACGAAATAAGGAAATTTCAAAGTAGCATTTTCTAAGCTATGCTCAGTGGACCACCAGCTCCTTGAGATGTTCAAAGACTATTTTTCCGAACGCGTATCCACTCATCAGTCAAGTTTATGAAATTCTGGGCTACATAAAATTAAGCAGGTTTCTTTATAGAACGAGCATTGCAGAAGCTACAACATGCTTTGTGAGTCTCTAGGGTGAGAGAGAATATCCGTAAATACTTCACTATAAAGCTGTTTTTCTTAGAACAGCTACAGAGCGAGTGCCCCACTGCAAACCTTAGAAATGCACCCTTAATATTCCACTGTTAATGAAACCTTAATATTCTACTGTTATTCTAATATTCAACCTTAATATTCTACTGTTCTAATGACCTGTTTGCTTGTCTTTGTACATGGCCAGAAAATGGTCATGTCTGTCCTTATAAAGAATGTGCATCCAGGCCCACAGAGAAAGCAGTGTATTCTCTAGCATTATAGTCGATGCAGGTGTAGCCACAGGTGGATAGACTACCTTTCTGCAAATATTTGGAGGGATTGGTACTTTCATGTCCTATGGCCACATTCTGGAAAGATCCGTCACTTCCTCTAATAATGTCTGTCTCTCTCTCTCTCTCTCTCTCTCTTTCGCCCATGTCCCTTTTGCTTCAGAGCCAGAGCCACAGTTGGGCACGCTAATCCTTAGCAATATTACTCCTGACAGCTTCAACGTGTCCTGGACCGCTCGAGCCGGGCCTTTTGCAAAGATTGTTGTCAATGTTAGCGATTCTCACTCGCTGTATGAGCCGCAGCAGCTGACGGTCTCAGGAGACACACAGCACGCTCACGTCACGGGCTTGGTGGAGAACACTGGCTATGACGTTAGTGTGGCGGGGACCACCTGGGCCGGGGACCCCACCAAGCCCCTCACGGCCTTTGTCACAACAGGTACTCATTCAGAGGTTGTTGCTTGTCTGCTGAGAATTCGGAGGTGGGGAGCGGGGGAAAGGCAAGAGGCGTTCTGAAGGCTTTCGACCCCAAATCCAGTCTTCGCTCCAGGTGTACACATCTAAGTGAAGAGGGAGCAGATCCTGTAGCAAAGAGGGGTATTTTGCCACCATTTGTGGGAAGTGGAGACCGTGTATTCGACAGCTGTGTCAAGTTTCCAGGGATTTCCCTGCCTAGCTTTATGGGCTGATCCATATTTTAGCGATTCTGGCTGAAGAGTGAGTTCTAAGGTAGTAACAGCCAAGAACAGGAATTTTGTCCATAAATCATGCTATGCTAAGGCCGTTTATAAACCACCTGCCCCAGAAATGCAGTAATTTATCTTTTTTCTTTAAAAAAAAAAATACTTCATCTTAAATCAACATCTACAACAGATTTCTGAAGGTTTGACCTAGCATAGCAGATAAATCCAAACTTCATTAAAGCTTACCCATTTATTAAACTTGACCTCTAACCTCTCTTGGAATTACCTTAAGAATTGCTTAAAGATACGGCTTTCCCTTTTTTTGCCTGAGATTATCCCAGATCGATGGCAAAGCCTGCAAACGGTGTGCACTTACCATATCCCTAGCCTGACAAACCTCAGGAAGTCTTTAGAAGTCTCCAGCCTCCCGCTAATGATAATTTTCAGGAGACTGACTTTACCTTCTGATTCTCACATTAAACCAAGCCTCTCCCAGCATCCAAAGTTGCTGCCAAGAAGACATGCTAATGCGTTCAATTAAATATTTAATTGGAGGCAGCCATGATGACCTCGAAGCGTGAGGGTTTTGATATCAGGCCTGAGTGGTTTCTTTTTTTTTTTTTTAAAGATTTTATTTATTTATTTGACAGAGAGAGATCACAAGTAGACAGAGAGGCAGGCAGAGAGAGAGAGAGAGAGGGAAGAAGGCTCCCTGCTGAGCAGAGAGCCCGATGCGGGACTCCATCCCAGGACCCTGAGATCATGACCTGAGCCGAAGGCAGCGGCTTAACCCACTGAGCCACCCAGGCGCCCCAAGCCTGAGTGGTTTCTGATCTTCTCCCACATCTTAGCTGCATGACCTTGGCTGCTGTTTAACTGCTCTGAATTCCAATTTCGTTATGAATGAAGATGGGACGCCCACAGCTACTTGGGGCAGCCCTTGTCTCAGGAATTAAATGGATACAATGAACTTTAAGGGTCTGGTTTCCAGCAAGTGCCTCACAGATGCTGGGTTCTTTCCATTTCCTAGCAATAGGAGGGGAGCAGTGTTCTGAAAAATAAGCCGCAAGTCTAGATAGAAACTCAGCAGCTATTGTTGTGAAATCATGACTTTCCTGTGATTTTTAAGAGAACACGGACATGGTTTTAACAGGAGATCAGAAAGTGTTTATATTTTCTGTCCCGTTGCCTACTGTGAATTCAGTCGTTCAGACAAGTCTTCAAATACAGAACATGCTCCTTTCTCAGTGGGGCAGGGGAGGGAGCGGTGGGGACTCCCATTCTCTCGCATCCCAAAGCCATGAGATGAGCTGGAGAGGAGGAATGGCCAGCCACCCATCCAGGTCAGTCAGGCCCTTACTTGTCGCCTCGCCTCCTGCAGGACCTCCCACAGAACAGGGAGAAGAAAGGCAGGCTGGGAGTGCTGGTCTTGGGAATCCTAGATCTGGTTACAGCATTGTCTCAGCTAATCCCTGAAGTGAAAAGACCCCGAGTTTTAAAAGAAGCATATTTTTAAAAAAGAGAAAGGATAAAAAAAAAAAAAAAGCTGAACATGAATGACTATAAATAACAGGCCCTGATTGACTGACTAATTAGCCTGAAGCCCTTGTTTTTGTTGGACTCTGCCGCTTTGATGGGGTGGAGATGCCAAGGGGCTAGCTACCAAAGAGGCCCCATTTATCTAAACAAAACTCAGCAACAGAACTTGAGAGCCATGTCTTGCACACAGAGAAGCCTCTTTGCACAGCGTATGAAATTTCATCTCTGCCTTTGATAGACTTATGATTTGGGGTAGATCCTTAAATGGAAAACAACAACAACAACAACAACAACAAGAACACCACCACCACCAAAAAAAAAACAAAAAACAAACAAAAAATAAATAAATAAATAAACCGTCAAAACAAAGAGCAAGTGTGTTAAAAAAGTACAAGTCCAAACCACAACAAAATTTAAATCACTGCTTCGGGAATGAACGCATTCATTCACTTGTTCATTCAATCACCAAAATCTTTATTTTTCTTTACATCCCGTGGATTAGACCCTGGGTGTTCGTGTAAGGTCATTTATTTCTTTGAAAGTTTCTATTTAGAAGCAATGGAAAATGTGCCTCCAAATGAGGGGGAGCTAAAGCAGCCTTGGTCATGGAGTTCCCAGCCCCACGCCCCCTCCAATGAAAACCAACATTCACCAAGACCATGCTTTGTTTTGCTAGAGGCACTGGACCTTCTCCACCGATCCTACCTACATCTCCAGACTTGCCAGCCCTGATGGGGTCACTAATTAGACGTTGGCCCAGGGTGTGGGAAGAGCGTTGAGCTTGGAATCAGATGGCCTGGGTGGGAGGCCAGCTTAGTCCCCCAGTAGATGTGTGATCCTGGATAAGTCATTGACCTCTGTTTCCTTAGATGTCATGGGGGTGAGGGGACAGGTAGCAATAGCCACTTCACAGTGTCATTGTGAGGTTTAAATAGGAGAACAGATGTGGAGCCTGATCAGTTGGGACATAATGGCACCTAGGAACTTAAGTGATATAAGCTCAGTCCTTTTGGAAACCCCCGTGTGTAAAGACCCCACAGCACCTGGGACACAGATATTTGGTGAATGAATGAACAGATGACAATAGAACTTACTAAAGATCCAATATGTCTTTATCTTCTGACTTTATCCAGGAAAACAAACAGCCAAAGAATTAACGAATCCTAGTATTCCTTAACTGGGCTGCAGTCATAATCTGCTAATTCTGACACATGAAAAACCTTACCCCCTCCCTCTAGTTCAGGTTATGAGGACATATGTCACTAATAGGTCTCATCCACTTGATTCAAAGTGAACTAGAAGTGGAATAGAAACATGAAGTACACCAAAAAGGAAGTATGTATTTAGTGGGGAAGTGGGGGAATTGATTTCCTTCAAGACCTTCAGAAGACAGAGGGAAACAGAGAAAGGGATCCAAACCCAACAAAAGCCATCCAATTTTATAGGGAAAAAATCATGGCCTTTGGGGTGAGACCCAGCTAAAACCTTCGCTCTGTCGCATCCTTGCTCTGTGACTTTGGCCAAGCCAATCGACCTCTTTGAAACTCAGGGTTTTTTGCCTGCATAATGGGAATAATGTCTATCTCATAGGCCTGTTGAGAGATTGGCACAAGATAACATCATCTGGCCCCTAATAAGCTCTTACTAAATATACATTTTCTGAGAATTTAACGCATTTAGTGATTGGGTATCTGTCGCTATTCGTGGAGACATGTGCTATCTCAGCAGGGTCAGCGCCGCTAACCTGAGTTGTTTTCACTCCTCCCTTCTTTCAGAGGCCCTGCCCCTTCTGGAAAACCTAACCATTTCCGACATTAATCCCTACGGGTTCACAGTTTCCTGGATGGCATCGGAGAATGCCTTTGACAGCTTCCTAGTAACGGTGGTGGATTCTGGGAAGCTGCTGGACCCCCAGGAATTCACACTTTCAGGAAACCAGAGGAAGCTGGAGCTTAGAGGCCTCATAACTGGCATTGGCTATGAGGTTACGGTCTCTGGCTTCACCCAAGGGCACCAAACCAAGCCCTTGAGGGCTGAGATTGTTACAGGTATTTGGATTCAAGTGAGCCATTTTCTCCCTTCCTTGGTTCTCTTCCATGTAATCCATCTACCACATCACCAACGTCCTTGTCCATTTTCTTTACGTAATCCATAGATGTGGCCTGCTCTTTTGTGTTTCCCCCCACACCCTCCCTTGTCTTGTGTCTCTACTGAGCACTCCTCTTCTCCCACTCCAGAAATGAGAAGGTCAAAATGTTTGCCCCTTGGCATCCCAAATCTTGTAGACCGTGTCTTGTCCAAGTTCTTGTGTGCTTATTCCACATCACCCTCTTCTGTGTACATCCTGGCTGGTCCTCAGCTATGTTTCAGCCTTCTCAAAAGAAATATACCAATGAGGATATTTCAAAAACTTATTTACAACATTTGCCATCTCAACATCTCAACTATGATCTTGATAAACTTACCAGGTGGGCTCGTTATTGGAAACCTAACTGCACACTTATTTTATTGGTAAACACTAATGTCATAGAGATTCTTTGACACAGACTAAATCCATAATTTTCTCAAGACTAATAATAATTCCTAGATACATAAAACATTAACAACTTTTAACAGTCAAAAATCTGTGTTTCCCAAAGTCTTTCCAGATTTTACTAGCTCCATAGGCTATTCAAAGGTCCTGCTTGGTGAAGAAGTTCCATGTACAAATAAGTTTTGGAAACATAGTTTAATAGCATCCTTGACAACAGGACTTTCCAGAATAGCCCAATGTGCATGTGTCTTTTCCAAGAGGGACTTACCCAAGCAGTATTTCCCGAACTTATTTGACATCAGATGCCTTTTAAGGAAGAGGAGCAAAGAGGAATGGTTTGTTCTGAGTACACTTTGGGAAACTCAGCTCTAAATTTACCTTGACAATGAGTTTTGTCTAGTGAAGGCAATCCAAGATCATACCTTGAGTCCAAAGTATGGAGTACAAGAGGTTTCAAGCCTCAGTTCTATCCTCTGAATGCCTGTCTAATGGTTTAAAAAGCAAGCAACAAAGTCAAGAGTAGGAGCCTTCTTGAGTACAACAGTTCCAAGAAAAATGCAAAAAGACCATAACATAACATTTTAAAAGCCATTTTGCTCAGGGTCAAGGGAAATATAATCAGCAGTATCATCATGGGCAACTCTACAGATCGTTAATACTGGTTTATTTGTCTTTTAAAAAAGAAAAAGACAAAGGTCTCACAGAGGATGGGCACTCAGCCATTGGAAGACAGAGAGCAAATGTAAACAAGTTACTGGCTTTGAACTTGTTTAATAATGCATGGGAGGGGCCAAAGCAGAGTCCAGATGTGGACTGATAGAATTGCTTTTAGACAAAACTCACATATACAAGCATCCACTTGGCTTGTATTGGATGTATGAACTCCATCTTCCCCTTCTCCTAGACCTACTTTTTTGTGTTGAATGATTTTATTTTTGGGAACTCAGGACACTTCTGTCCCTGAGAGCCAGGGCCAGTGCATACTAATAACCCGCCCTCACCGCCCCCCCATCCCGCAGAAGAAGACTGCACGGGCTGGTAAATGATGTTTTCTCTCCTCCTCCCACCATGTTCTCCTCCTCTAGAAGCCGAGCCAGAGGTGGATAACCTTCTGGTTTCAGATGCCACCCCAGATGGTTTCCGTCTGTCCTGGACAGCTGATGAAGGGGTCTTCGACAGTTTTGTTCTCAAAATCAGAGATACCAAAAAGCAGTCTGAGCCACTGGAAATAACCCTACTTGCCCCCGAACGAACCAGGGACATAACGGGTCTCAGAGAGGCCACCGAGTATGAGATTGAGCTCTATGGAATAAGCAGTGGAAGGCGATCCCAACCAGTCCGTGCCTTAGCAACCACAGGTACCGTACCTCCACAGGAGAAAACCGAGAAAAGTCATTGACGCGGGGGTCTTCTTTCACAGGGCTGGGAAACTGCAAGAGCTTTGAACGCAGCCAAGCTCTTTCAATTACAGACGGTGCGAGTGTGGAAAATTTGGCTGAGCCTTCGTGCAAGAGGAGCAGGATGCCATTTATTTAATGGAGTTGTTGAGGATTGAATGAGATAATTCATGGCAAGCCCACAGCAGAGGGTCTGGTGCATAGCAAGGGCTCTGCAAATTAAAGCTAACTGGAGTTGCATTATTTTCATTAATACATCATCATCATGACAGTTATTGCAATTTTTAAATTCCAAAGACCCTTCTTCCAGCCGATTATCGCATCTTTTTTTTTTTTTTTTTGGATGCAGAGGTACCTCTGGGCAAATGTTTGACCTTACAATGTGCAGGGGATAATGGAGAAGTGGTACCTCCACCTATAAAGATGAATATTTATCAGATGCAATGTGTAAATAATCCATTGCGTGCTCAGGAAGGATCAAAGGAGGGAGCTGACAAGGTCGACAGGCTGCTCATCGTGACGTTCATGATTTTATAGGATAGATACTCCATGGCAGGTCTAAAAGGCACTAAAGGGGAAAATGCAAACCCTTTTCCCTATGAGTTGTTCCAAGGAGGAAAAAGGAAGTTGATTGGTAACAGGACTCTTTAGCGGGAAAGACCTATAACAGGTGTGGTGAATTGTCCCTGAAACTAAGGGACAAGGAGAAACTAGCATTCCCTAGAGAGACTGCTTCAAGAGGAATCAGAAGAAAGAATCACAAAAGCACAGGAAGAGGTAAAAGGGACCAAGGAAGGGGGTAGCCCAGCCTCTTCTGCTCGTGCAGAAAGATGCGATTTGCCTCACGTCACACGGCCAGGTTTGGTGTAGAACCCAAACACGGCTATTTTAATACTATTTTATTATTGTATTTTAATATTTATTTTAATACTATTAAATGTAAGCAGGCTGGATGACAGAGAACCAATGAGTGTACATACTTGCCGTCTCTGAAAAGCAGCACATTAGCCAAAAACTCTGTGCGCAGAGGTGGATGCATTACCATGTCAAGGTGCAGGACCTGAGGAGCTCTCTCAGAGAAGCCACCTACAGAAACCATAATCCTTATCTGTGGGTGTGGAGGAAACGCCGAAGTGCAGACAGCAGTCCAGGTGGAGGAAAACCCGTTTCTTAGTAGCTTGGACAGCCTGTCCATGGGATGCGGGTCCTTGTCTCCTCCTCCCTGTGGCTGCGCATAAAACAACCTCAGATCACAGACTGAGCCTGATTTTGACCTCGGTTTGTAGACACTGCCTTTCCACGTTTGCTTCTGATCACTGATTTTGTTTTGCCAATCTTTTTTGCTAGAGGCCCTGCAGTTCTAAAGCCAAAAAAGAAGGAATAATCAAGAGGGTTTTGTTTTTTTTTTCTTCTTGTAAGAACCAAAAAAAGAAAGAAAGACCCTGCTCTTTCGGAAAAGCTTTTCTTTGATTACTTATTCTGGGGATTTGTATTTCAAAGCCAACGAGAAGTAAGGGTGCGTGTGTGTGTGTGTGTGTGTGTGTGTGTGTGTGTGTGTGCCCACATGTGCCTGCGTCCCTTGCTCCGTACTTGGAAAGGACAGGACAGGTGACTCCATTAGACAGAATACGCCTTATTCCATTGTAACCTCATGTGTTTTATGAAGTTTCCCTCTTGTTTTTCCATCCTCCTTCTTCTTTCCTTCCCTGCGTAGTTGTAAACCCTTCTCTGGGATGTTCTGTTCCTCTTTATCCTCATCAAAGCTGCTGCAGGTTCTCCTCTCTGGGATGTTCTGTTCCTCTTTATCCTCATCAAAGCTGCTGCAGGTTCTCCTCTCACTCCCAGAGCACCAGCTGCCAGCCCCGAGTGCCCAGCGGCAGAAAGGGCGGTCAGGGTCAGGGGCGGCGCATACAGCGATTTGGCCTAGAGCCTCTGGGGAGAGTCCCTGGAGCCTAATCCTTGCTCTACCAGCTGTGCGGTCTTGGGCAAGTCTCCTTTCCCCTCTGAGCCTCAGTCTCCCCATCTGGCAAGTAGAATTTAACTCAGAATTCAGCCATGAGGTTTTTTTTTTTCTTTCTTTCTTTGTTTTTAAGGATTTTATTTATTTATTTACAGACAGAGATCACAAGTAGGCATAGAGTCAGGCAGAGAGAGAGCAGGAAGCAGGCTGCCCGCTGAGCAGAGAGCCTGATGCAGGGCTCGATCCCAGGACCCTGGGATCATGACCTGAGTGGAAGGCAGAGGCTTAACCCACTGAGCCACCCAGGCGCCCCTCAGCCATGAGGTTTAAGGAAGATCATGAATATCAAATATTTCGTTTCCTTGCCCGTTGTAACAATACTGTTACTATGATTGGGTTGATTTCATGTAAATTTAATTTTTTAAAGGGGTGCTTGATTCAAAGTTCAAAATTTAGAAAGGATCTATAGCAAAGTCTCTCTGCAACTCCGTCCCGGCTCCCTAGCTGCTCGAAATACAGGCATTCGATATTGCCACTTCTTTGTCTGTAGAAATAGACAAAATTAGACATAAATCTATTATTCTCTTTTTTAAAAGATTTGAAGAAAACCACTCTTTTACAGTCTGGTATATGTGGGTTTCTTGCTTACTGGATCAGAGAGATAATCCCATATGCCTTCTTTGCTTCCCCAGCCCCTACTAATGGATTCGTAGGTTAATCCCTGTATTTGCAATGGCAAATGGAAGTTTGTGCCACTTCCTCCCAACAGCCATGGTCCCTCTTTGGAAAGTCCAGAGTTGCCAGGAGCATTTTTGGTCTCTGGGGAGCTAAACACCAGTGTGCCTCCGTGCACCAAATGGAGGGGCCCCGGAACAGACAGAAAATAGTTAAAAACCCAGCCACGGAGTATGATAGCTTTGTCTTCCTCTTCTGGAGATTAGAGTGCTTAGTGAGGAGCCTGAGATGATTCTTTCACCTGTCTCCGTCACCGCCCCCAGACACACACCTTCCATACTCCCTTCCACCCCAGAGGCCATGGGGGTAGTCAGTGCCCCTTCTCCAAATTCCCAGAAACCAGCCCCCTTTCCCAGACGGTTAACCTCGCAACTCCTCTGCCCAGTTCCAATTCAGATGCACTTGAAACCACGCACCACCTAGTGGCAATGACTTTGTGTCCGGGGCCTGACCCAGCAGGCCTGCAGAGACCCACTCCTGTGTGAACCAGGCTCTTCATGCTCCGTCCCTCGGGCTCTGACTCCCATGAGGCATAGAGACGGTGACCACCAATTACAAGGCATGTCCTCCATGCCGCACGGGCAGGGCAACGGACACTTTTATCTCCACGAATCCCCGTGACACAGCCAGACCAAGGGAAAGCCACATTCAACCCACTTCACAGTTGGGGAAACTGAGACTAAGGGTGTAAGGTGTTTTTAGCTAGGAAAGTCAGAACAGAATTCAAACCCAGGTCAGTCTAACCCCCAAATCCTTGCTCTTAAACCATACTGGTTCCAGTAGCTATCCTCGAAGCTTAATATGGGACCTGGGACACATTAAGTATTTGGTAAAAACATGTTGAAGGGAGAATAAATTTTTTTCAATGACTTTTCATGGCCACCTCATTAAAGCAATGGACATTTGCTCCAGATTTGGGCATGGCAACTTTTTATGCAAATTGCAGAAGGAAGCCCTCTTCTACCTCCTTGGGAGTTTTTAGCAACTCCAAATATTTCCCTAATGGAGTTTTTATTGAAAACCAAGCATCCACTTGGGAAAAGAGAGGCATCGCTGTGCTTATGTCTCCCAACTCTTCAACAGAATGATTTAGTTGCTGTGGGAGGCTCTGTCTTCAGGTTCCCGTTGACCATCTCCTCTCCTGTGGTGCTGGAGGCTTGTGGGCGCTGTTTATGACAGAAGGAGATATGCTAAAATCACACATAGTCTTTCACACGGAGAAAGGCCTATCATCCAAAAATAGCACAACACTGAACCTGGATTCCCATCCCTCCCAGGCCATTCCGTCAAGTTGTAAAGCAAAGCTATTTCCCTGCTGCCATTCTGATGGAGCATGGCCCTCAGGTGCGCACGCTGTATGACGCGACAAATTCTAAAGTCTTCTAAGACAGGGCAGATAATATTGCCGTTTGGTAGATGAGAAAACCTGGCATCTAGAGAAAAAGGCTGTGGCCACAGAGATCCATCCAAAACGTGCTGAGGCTTGCAGTCAGAGCGAAGGGCCACCTGGACAAGGCTAGCCACAGGAGATCCATCTAAAATGTGCTGAGGCTTGCAGTCAGAGCGAAGGGCCACCTGGACAAGGCTGGCCACAGGAGAGCCCCGGTGCTTGCTTTCACACACCTCACTGGGTTTTATTTTCAGCCAACCTTATCCAGATCTTTCCTGGGAGTTGCTTCAAAATCAGGGTAGCCCATGGGAAAAAGAATTACATGGGGAAGAAAATAAAGAGAGAACAATCACTTTTACTGAATTCTTACTCTCTGCAAGATTCTGTTAGGGGGTTTACACCCATTAGCTCTGCTAATCCTGGAAAATATTCCCATAGGTGGGCATGACTTCTCCCACTGACAGATGGAGCAACTGGTGCTCACAGAAGTGAAGGGAACCGCCCCAGGTTGCCAGGGCCCTCCGCGGTATTTGGACAATCAAGATCTTCCAGGCTCCAGAGCCCTTGTGGTTTCAAAGCTTGGTTCCAAGGAAAGGGCAGAACCCCAGGCAGCCACAGAGTCTGACAACCAGGAGGAAAGGTCACAGGAGAAAGCCAAAAGAGGAGAGAAACAGAAATGGAGAGGGGGGGAAAACATCTCCCCCACGTGGGCTGTGGGTTTTAAAACTTAATGATCAACGTGGGTTGGAGAGGGAAAAGATGAGGAAATGAGCTCCCCGGAGACCTGAAAATTGTTTCCTGATCTCTCTGGTTAAATATGGTCAGCTGAAGAGGGCAAAGAGCTAAGCCAAAAAATACACAGGAAAAGCCAGCAGAAACTGGGTTTTGGGGGGAGATATTTATATAGTAGAAACTGCCCCGTGGGCAAGGCTCTCCCCGCAGGTAGACCCATGTGCAGGAGGTATTGTGTTTACTTTGCTTGCTCTCCAGGCTTTGGACCTCCATCCAGTTCTGGGAATGGGTTCATCGAGGTCAGTTTCCATGTCAATGTTATTTCCAGGATCCCCGGACTGCGCCGGCTCTGCTGCCCGGTCCTGGGCCCAGAAAGGTCACACCACAGCAACATGCGTCGGTGAACCAAGCCTCAGTTTCCTCCTCTGTAAAATGGCTACAACCACACCTTCTTCTCAGAAGTTTCTAAATGAGGAGTAATCCTTATCAGTTACAAAGCACCACACAATTGTCAAGTCTTGGAATCATCTAATAAAAGGAACTAGAAAGCAAAGGTTTGGGGGGGGAAATGCTACAACTGAGAAATTCTAGGATGGCATATTCCAAGCTGTGAAACCACCCAGCCTCACTTCCTCAGGTATCAGCTGGGTGTTAACATTCTACTTGAACAAAACCTAATGCCAGCTCTACGGCCCTGGGCCCTGGGCCTGAATGAGGGACCAGTTGTCTCTGTCAAATCACAACTTGACCACAGATCACCGCATTCTCCATCCTCAAGGCTTGGCTCAGACACTAACTCTAGAGGCTGAGTCTTCTTAGATAAGGAATCCAGAAAGAATCATTGGCGAGCAAGAAAGTTGACTGTTTCTGGGTTTCTCATGTGCTTTCTCCTTGACAGCTATGGGCTCTCCGAAGGAGATCAGTTTTTCAGACATCACTGAAGATTCGGCTGCTGTCAACTGGATGGCGCCCTCTGCCCAGGTGGAGAGCTTCCGGGTTACCTACGTGCCCATTGCAGGAGGTAGGGCCCTGGAAGGGGGGTGGAGGGAGGAGCAGCTCCTGGAGGGTTTGAGTGGGATAGTGAAGAGACTCTCATAACTTTGAGACTCCCAAATAGGACCAAAGAAAATTACTTTCTTCTGTTGGCAACCATCTCTATAGATTTCATTTGTAAAGGACTATAAAGTCCTTGGAGGAAGTGCCTTGCAAAGGGTCATTTTATGAAGACCCTCTCTGGCCTTGAAACCCCTCTACTCCTGTGAGAAATAGACCCCAGTGTTGTTTTCACACAATGGCAGAGACTCTAAATACACTGGTCCTTTTCTCTTTGAGCACACTCATCTGAAAAGCTGATCCTGACCTGAATGTATGTGAGGTTTTACCCTTTGGTCCTCAGATGTGTCCATCTCAGTGCAGATGGGGAGTTGTGGCTTTGCTAGTGGAACTGGGAGTTCTAGTTCAATGCACAAGGGCCACAACAAAGACCATGGTGGGGCAGGGGGGATGCTCCGTCAGATCTGCGCAAAGACATTCTGGCAGGTGGTAGTGTGTCCTGAAAGCATGGCTGATACCTCTTCAGAGCAAGGCTGTAACAGCTCTATAGAAGTTTGGCTTGCTGGTATATAAGCTCTTTACCAGCCCTGAAATTCTAGGAAACAGAAATTGCAGCCTTCTTCATAAATATAAGAGCACAGTCTTGACTGTGACCATCTTCTTTTCTTAAAAGAGTAGGCTGTCTGCTGGGAAGGGAGTCTGTATACTCCAAAGCTAAGACAATGGGTTAAATAGATGAGATATACATTACATACTGAGCTTTTCGTATTCTTTGTGGGGGAAAATAAATAAATAAAAACATGCCAGCTCTCTACTGAACGGAAACTTGCCATTTTTAGCACATTGTGACTTCATGTTTTTTTCCCCTCCTGGCTGGGTTTTTGGCATCTGCACTGATGGAAAAAAAGCATTATACAAAAAGTAAGACATCTTCTCTTATGCCAGAGGGCAGGAGTAAATGAGAGGAAGTCAAGAAAATGGTACTGGATCAAGATATAGTTTCGTTTCCAAATCAGATACACCCGTTCTTGGGGCAATAGTAAGTTTTAGTGAGGTTCACCATTCCTGATCTTGCTTTTGCCCTGTTCCAGGGACACCATCAGTGGTAATCGTGGATGGAACCAAGACTCGGACCAGGCTAGTGAGGCTCTTACCGGGAGCAGAGTACCTTGTCAGCGTCGTCGCCATGAAGGGCTTCGAGGAAAGTGAACCAGTCTCAGGATCATTCGCCACAGGTGTTTTTCTCACCTTATGCACGATTGCTTGTGACTCAGCAGCTGGAAAAACTTCTTTTATTTGGGGAAATCCTAGTGAGAAATGGAGTGAATGTGGAGCACCAGAGACCTCATTTCTGGTCCCTGGCCTCTTACAGGCAGGGTAACCTTGATTTCATCCTTCACCGTCCTGAGCCTTCATTTCTTGGGTTAGTGTGGAAGAAAGAACACAGTTTGGGAGTCTTACTGACCTACATTGAAATGCCAAGTGTACCACTTAGAGATACGTGAGTTGTCAGTTAATTTCTCTAGGATCTAGTTTCCTGCTCTGTAAAATGGGTACAATTCTGCTTCCTTTGCAGGGTGCCATAATTTATGACATGATCTATTTAAAACAACCTGTAGATATAAATGACTGTGCACGTGAATCCACCGGGAATCCTTTCAAGCAGGTGCCTCGCACAGACAGAACAGGGATTGCTTTAAAGTAACCGTTCCTGATTGGGCAGCTCCTGCATGCCAGGCACTGCTATTAAACCCTTTGCATTTAAACCATGAAAATGCCTTCTATCGTTCCCATTTTACAGAGGAAAAAACTGAGATCCAGGGAAAAGAAATACCTTGGCCGAGGCCACCGAACTACTACATGCTAGAGCAAATTTGAACTTAGGTCAGTCTCACTCCAAGCCTCGTGTTCTTCTAAAATAGAGGATTATTTTCCTATTATAACCTGATTTGTACAACGTACTGTAAGGAGGGGGAAATAATGAATTGCATTGAGGGAGAATGAAGTGGAAAATTTCTCTTCAGGCAGCCATGTCTCTGAACAATTTATCCTTTGATAGAAGAGCAATTATCCAGTCTAATCCATTAAAGGATCCAAAGAGCGGGCCTCATAGGAAATTTTAAAAATACCCTAATAGTCGAAAAGAGTTGATTATATGCAATTATAACATCCCATCTGAACCCAGAGTCCTCTCTGCTCTCCACACAGGCCCGTATTTCCCCCATAGAAATCTTTCATTCATGGGCTCTCCGGTTGTAGACGGTGGATGCATTCCCTCCCGAGGCCCATTGTCCTGGACATTTAAAGGAGATCCTGTACAGACGGGCTGAAGCAGGAAGGAGCTCGGAGCAGACCATGTGGGCTCCCGAAAGTACCCTGCCTCCGCCTGCTTCTCAGGCCGGTCATCACATCTCTTGGGGCTCAGGAGCCTCGTCTGTGAAATGAGCTGCTGACAGCTGCCCTCCAGCCTCCCAGGGCCGTTGTCCTGGGATAATTGAGTATAAATGCAAATGCAAGAAGATCATAGTCCTATTTACATTAACTTCTGAGAAAGGGATGCTAGGTCGTCGCAGGGGTCGGTTAAACAGGCCAGCGTCCTCTGTCAGTACAAGTCATTTGGGAATCACGTCAAAGATGCCAGTGATGTTAACAGCCATGTTACTAATAGCAGCAGCCATGAGCGAGCGTTGCCCCAGCACGTTTCACACATGCAGTGCCTCGTTCATCCTTCTAGCAGCTGCCCTGGGACACCTGAAGAAATGACGCTAGGCAGAGAAGGCACACTAGAACCGGGGACTGCCAGCTTCTGGGGCTCCACAGTGCCCACCAGACCCCTTACTGGTGCTCTCACTCAAAGCCCAGAAGAGCCTCTGGCAGCCCTGACTCTGGGAGGCTTCCCGTTTTGTAAGTTCTTGCCCTGGGAACAGTGATGAACCAGAGAGATAACCCCCATGATGTTTATACAGCTCCTTTCCACCTCCACTATCATGTAAGCCCCAGAGTATCACTGAGGATAAAGCCAGACAGAATGAGGATGCCCCTTGCACAAGTGGGGACACGGAGACCCAAGAGAGCCCAGGCAGCAAGGGAAGGCATCATGACTCAAACCCAGGGCGTCCCCGCTCCAGACTCAGGATGCTAAACTCTGCGCACACCAGGCGCCGCGTCCCAACCCCAAGAGTCCAGGAGCAGTGAGAGAGCGGAGAAGCTGTGGGCTGATGTCTGACCCTACCACGGCCTAGCTGTCCAACATATCATCATCTTTCTTTGCAGCTCTGGATGGCCCATCTGGCCTGGTGACAGCCAACATCACTGACACGGAAGCCCTGGCCATGTGGCAGCCAGCCATCGCCCCCGTGGATAATTACATCATCTCCTACACAGGGGAGAGAGGTAAGGCCATGTCTAAGACCCTCCCCACCAGAAGGAGTGTCTGTTGTGTCGTTCTTCCTCCTCCCTGTCATGTTTGGCCCAGGATGGCAAAAATACATGGGTAGCTTGAGAAGGCCAGTGATGTCCTTGTGGTTCTCAGAATAGACTCATGGGCTGAAGCCGGGGCTGGATAGGCCAGTGAGGAGGGCCTGGCAGAGGGAAGCAAGGGAGACCTCACCCATCCTCCCCTGCTTTTTGACAAGTGAAGGGCATCAATGTTGTCGTTATACCAAGGAAGGCCGGTAGGCCATTTGGAGGAAAACTAAGGGCACATCTCCAGCATGCATGTGTTCCCCCAACCTGTCCCCCTCACCTGTTAGTCTCCCTGCCTGTCACCATGAACCTTCCTCTCCAGGCAGCAGCTCCCATCTCTTACAAAGAATGAGTTCAGAATCCATAGTCATAAACAGGCTATTTCAGGAGGCACTGGGGAGCCTGGGCCTCTTAGAGGCTACAGAGGAGGTAACAGATGCAATTGAGAAATCAGAAATTTTTTTGTCCTCATGTTTGCAGACATCTGTGCTAATTAATTTGCTTAGTTGGCTCACTAAACACTTGTTTGGGCACCAACACATCACGGCCACCAAAACATAAGATCAAATAAGAGTAAGAGAGAGGAGAAAGAGATTGTTTTTCAGAGAATGAATTCATGCTTTTGTAATGAGCTACTCTAGAAGAAGACTTCACTATCTGAATCCCAAGGCATATGTAAGTTTCCTATTTTTCAGTTCAGGATTGTTTTACATGCAGTGACAACATGTAGGGACGCCATGACCCATGCCTGGAGCCTCTGAAAGTCTGCATTCACTCCTGGGCCACTACCTAAGAGAGTTCTTTATGGGCATAGAGCAAGCTGGAGAGTGTGGGAAGAGAGATTTGGGGGTTTGTTCTTTTTATTCTTCTATTCATTCACTCATTCATCTCTTCAATTCTTAAATATTCCCAATGAGCGAACTCTGAGTCAGGGCAGCTGGTGATGTACCTACAGTGAACCAGAGCATTGTTCACAGGGAATATGGGATTAGTAGAGGCAGACCTAGAAAAGGGCCTGGTCCACGAGAGGGGGTTTCATGGGTGAGAAACAAGACGATCAACTCATCCCAGGTTACCCAGGACTTTCCCAGTTCCAGTACTGAAAGTCCCACGCCCTGGGAAATCTCTCAGTCCCCGGCCAGCCCAGGTGGTCGGTCACCTGTGATCAGGAAATAAGCACACCCACCTGGCGCCATGCTTTGGTTTCCCCACTGGACTTGACCCAATGGGTCTGAGATGCAGTAACGAGGCTTTAGTACATCTGCAGCTGCCCGATTTTTGTGGTTCTCCAGCCTCATGATTTAACAACGTTTGTCAGATGATAAAAGCACATGAGAGTAAGTGAAAAAGAGGGGAGAGCAAGTAGCATTAAATCTGGGCAGCCTGAGGCTGGAGACGTTAGCTGCAGCTCTCCTCCAGCTGGTTCCTGAGCCTCCGCTGCAAAGCTCCCCCAGACAGCGCCATATGGCAACACCTCCTGACCCCCAGGTCCCCTTCCTCCCGATTTGATGCATGGAAAAATCCAGTCTCCATATGATAAATCCTTTGTGTATGGGGTGAGCGATCAAGAGAGAGAACAGGGAGTGAGTCATTTCAGAAATCAGACTTGCTTTTCCGCAGGGTCCCTGAAAGTTTCTGCTAGAAGTAGGTGTGTGCACCATGTGCCAAGTGTGCTGATGGCTCGCACGGGGAGCGGTAACTGCCTCGATGTGTGTATTTCATGTTTAGTGCCGGAAATTACGCGCACAGTGTCCGGGAACACGGTGGAGTACGCTCTGACCGACCTCGAGCCTGCCACGGAGTACACACTGAGGATCTTTGCAGAGAAAGGGCCCCAGAAGAGCTCCGTCATCACTGCTAAGTTCACAACAGGTACAGAGACGCCGGGAGCTGGAAGCAGCCCACCCACAGCCTCCATCTTAAACGGCCATGCTCTCCAACTCCTTCTTTCTTAAGTCAGATCCTTGCAATGTGATGACATCAGCATCAGCTAAATTCACCAGCGCCCCCTCAATCAGGACCTTAAGAAACGCATCATTTCCTTTTGAACTGAAATGACCACGTTCTCCCCATGGACTAGGAAATGGTTTTAAGATGAGGGCTTTTTTAAAGTGTAAAACCAGTCCCCATTGGCCCTCAACCCAGTATTTAATGATCCTTGTTCTAGGCAGGGAAATATTTTTTTTCTTTCTTTAAGATTTTATTTATTTATTTGACAGACAGAGATCACAAGTAGGCAGAGAGGCAGGCAGAGAGAGAGGGGGAAGCAGGCTCCCTGCTGAGCAGAGAGCCCAATGTGGGGCTCGATCCCAGGACCCTGAGATCATGACCTGAGCTGAAGGCAGAGGCTTAACCCACTGAGCCACCCAGGCGCCCCAACAGGGAAATATTTTTAAGAGAAGGATTTTTCAGGCATGTTTTCCTAGATGTCCATTAGGTTTTTACATAATGAGATCTTTTTGCAAACTGCAGCAGGCCGGGAAAGTGAAGAAGCATCCTCTTGTGGTAGGGGTGAATGCCAATATTAGCATTCATCTTCCTGCTCGCTTATTCAGGACCCAGAGGGGTTGGGAATCATGTTCCCAGCTGTGTCTTTCTCCCCAAATCCACCCTAGGCCAATCTAGAGTGTGTTGGGCTCAGGAAAATCTGACCTTCAGGATGAAACAAACCACAGAGAATTCTGTCTTCAGAGATCACATGACTCAGCCTCCTCCTTACAGACGGGAAAGGTTCCGCCCAAGGTCCTGTAGATGAACGGTAGGGAAAGCCAGGCTTCCTGACAACCCAGCCAAGGGAGTTTTGTCCTAGAGTTGCTGACATATTTGCTGACAAATGACTTACCTTCTGCAGACCTTGATTCTCCAAGAGACTTGACTGCTACTGAAGTTCAGTCGGAAACTGCCCTCCTCACCTGGAGAGCCCCCCGGACATCGGTCACCGGTTACCTATTGGTGTATGAATCTGTCGATGGCACAGTCAAGGTATCTTGCAGTATATAAACTCCCCACTCCCATTTGAAACTTGGACGTGATCCTCAGTGGAAAGAAGAATCACCCCGGGGCTGTTTCTACATCTCAGTGCAGCTAGGGAGCTGAAAACAAAAAAATTAACAGGGATTGGATGCCATGCCAGACCTTCTCAATCATATCTCCAGCCTCTCTGTCTCCCTTTAACCAGACTCCCAGTTTTGATAGGTCAAGAACCACTGCTCACAAGACTTGAGGACATTCTAGGAGCTGGGTGCATGGTCTTTTAATGTTTTATTGAGCAAAAGCCAAGGGTTTCTTTAGCATCTTCGCCATAGATACAATATCACAGATGGCGTCATTCCATTATATATTGAAACATACGTCACCATGTTCTTATGACAACAATTATTAATAGTATTTACGACAAATGTTATTTATATTCTCTGACCCTTAACATCTTTTCTTTACCTTCCAATTTGAAATAACTTTAGCCCTTCCTTTCATGCAAGTGAACTTGATCTCTAAACTTTATTTTCTGAACTCATTGTTGAACTTTTCATTTTGGTCATCACACTCTACATTTCCACAATCTCTTCCTTATTCTGGGTTCATCCGTCTTTCTCTTGCATATTGTTTGTATTCCGCCTATCCTCTCCTCTTTATCTCTAAGAGTATATGTTACTGGTGGGTTTTTTTAATATTTTATTTATTTATTTGACACACAGAGAGACATCACAAGTAGGCAGAGAGACAGGCAGAGAGAGGGGGGGAAGCAGGCTCCCTGCTGAGCAGAGAGCCCGATGTGGGACTCGACCTGAGCAGAAGGCAGAGGCTTAACCCACTGAGCCACCCAGGTGCCCTGTTACTGGTGTTTTATTCTACAACCTGCATAGTGTCTCCAAGTTCTGTTCTGTTCGTTCGTTCGTTCGTTCATTCTTTTTCTGTTTCACTGCTGTTGTTTGGTTTGGGTCTTCATCTTTCATGGTGGAGACTTCAGCCCAGTGTCTGATGGTCCTTTTGTACTTGCATCAAGAACAAAACAGCTTATTGGGAGTTCTGACGGCAGACACAGAGCTTGCCAACTAACGGGACTACAGGGCTTACCGCAGAGTAAGCAAGTGCCCAGCGATTTTGTTGGGGGACTCGAAAGTAACAGCTCTGTAAGCCTTTTCTCTTGACCTAATCCACCTCCGTAGAGGATCCTCCAACTCCTTCAAGCCAAGCTGCCCGGAGTGGAGTTGGAGGAGGAGCCTGAGCCCCCGCGGTGCACACACCTTTAATTCTGTTCCCAGATAGCTCCACTGGGCCTGGCGGACTGGAATCCAGAGTCTTCTTTCTGGCTCAGTGTCTCCAGAGAGTACACCTCAGCCTTTCATCTGGACTGGGAAGGACAGCCATCCAGACTGGGGCGGGCGGGGTGGGGTGGGTGGTTAGAGAAATGGGGAGAACTTGGAATCTGTTCCTTATTTAAGCTGTTAAACAAACTTTTGTTCAGCCATGCCCCACACCGGCCTTCAAAGGCATCTTTGCTTTTGTACACATTCCGTTCCTGAACTTGCTGGGCCCTGTGGCATTCGTCAGCCAGCCTCAGGCTGGCCCCCCCACCCCCACTCGGTCAGCTCTCCCCTCAGCCTGCTGGGCTCTGTCCCCTCGCTCGGTACCCCACCACAGCCCTTCCCATCCGTCAGGATTCTGTGGACATGGCATGCCTCTGTCTGTCTCATCTGTCATCCACTTCATCCTCATGGACGTGTACTTTCTGTCCCTTCACTCTCATTCTAAAAGAAAGCAGAGCTAAACTGGTATGTCCAATCCACCATGTTTGACTAGAAGTGGACACACATTTCTAGTTACTCCCGTGGCCCTTCTTTGACTTGGCAGAACAACAAACTGACTCACTGTGTGTGTGGAGGCAAGTCCCTCCACTTCTCTAGGTGTCGTGTTCCCATTTGTAAAATGAGTACAGTGGACTCACCAGCACCCTTCCTAGAACTGAGCTTACCTCAAGTCCTGAACCTCATTTCGATCTACCCTGATTGCCTAGAAAAGGACTTCGCACAGACGCTGAGAGAGCTGAGTCGTAATTTTATCCCCAAGTAATTCAATGAACCCAGCTTAATAGCTGATCCTTCCCCAGGGACCAGACCTGGGGGCCACGTAAAGGTCACTGGGTCACATGTGTCAGCCTACTGACTTACCTTCCTGCATGTCTAGTCCCCATCACTGTATGTTTCACTCAAGAAAACCAACCTGGTGCAGGAGGAGAGAGTCCTGGGCAGGTTGTGGGGAGACAGGAGTTAAAACTGGCCCCTGCCCCCCACCACTTACGGAGTGAGAGTGGGTCCCTCAGCTTCTCTGGAAGTCAGTCCCCTGCCCCCCTCCCCCATGGAAGAATCAGGAGAGCCCACCTGCCCAGCATGAGCATGCGAGAGAACCTTGCGGGACCTCCGCACTGACTCGGTATTGTCTACACCTCGCCGGCCGTGTTTGCAGGTCACAGCACAGCTGGGCTGGGTTTGCTAGCAGCGTAGGTTGAATACCAGACACCAAGGTCATCTGCTAAAAAGTGAATTCACTGGCGTTGGAAGCTGGAAAGAGGATTTGAAAAGGAGGAAGACTTCCTGAAAGCTAAAACAAATGTTCTCCAGACAGCAGTGCCGTGAGCAGTCATAAACTACAGGGGGGAGTGCGAAGAGGTCTGGTGGTGGAGGGACACACATGCCTCTCCTGGATATCTCTGTTCTAGAAGGAGACATGCTGGGTCGGCTCAGGCCTTTGCTCTTGCCTGCTGAGCTCCTGCAGTCATCCCTTGACTCGAGATCCCCACGCTGACTAAATCCGAACCGCTCGGGGAGCTTCTTCAGTATGTGCCTGGGAGAGCCCCACTTCCGGCTCTTATGATGTGGCCAGTCCGGGATGGAGCCCAGGCTTTGTATTATTTTCAAGCTTCCCAAAGGACTGTGAAAAAGAGCCTTATTAGGGACCACTGATATAACTGGTCTGAGAATCTAAACCCTTTGCCCTTTGTGTGATTCATCTTGCTTCCAAGTTAAGCTGGGTTCACTTCATTCACTTGTTCAAAAACTTTTTGGGAATCCGCATTCCTTATCATGATAAGCTTCAAGTTCCATAGCTTGGCACTTTAAGGCCCTTTGTAATCAGGTCTTTGCCCACTTCTTCCACCACTCCAGCACCCAGCACAAAGTGTGGTTCACCTAGGTCATTACTTCCTCCTCTGTCCCTTCTGGCCTCAGGACATTTGCTCATGCTGCCCTCCCCTGTCTTTCATGTCCAGAAGTGAGCATGGAGCCTGACATCAAGTGAGACTCAGTGGATCCTTTTGAATGAAGAAATGAATGGATGGGTGAATGAATGAATGTATCATCTGTACCCTGAGGATTTATGTGGCAAAGGACTATTACATTCTTTCTTCTGCCCCTAGGAAGTCATTCTGGGTCCAGAAACCACCTCCTATAGCCTGGCGGAGCTGAGCCCCTCCACCCACTACACGGCCAAGATCCAGGCACTGAATGGGCCCCTGAGGAGCAAGCTGGTCCAGACTGTCTTTACCACAAGTAAGGGGCTCCGGGCTCCACTGGGCTTTGAGATCGAACTTTGTGAGACAAGACCAACCCTCCACTTCTCCTCTGACTATGACTGAGTTTTTCCCTCAAATCTCTTAAAAGGATCAGTGCCTGCCTCTCCCTGCAAGCCCGAGGAATGTGGGTGCAGAAGGTTAAGGACCTCGTGGTGAGAGGGAAGGAGGGCCAGTAGTGAGAGCTCTGGACACAAGCCTCATCTCCACCACTTGCTCTGGGTGATTTAGGAAAGTTACTGCCACTCTGCAAGCCTCAGTTTCTTCATCTATGGGATTCACAAGTATCCCTTCCTCACAAGACCCCTGTGCTCTCTGAGCCCCTAGCCCAGTGTGCGGACCAGGGGCTGGGCTCACTATAAGCTGAGGCCTTTTTTTCCTTCAGCGTGCGGGCCATTACAAAACCCGCCCATGATCAAAATCAAAACCAGTCCTCCCACCAAGCTGGTAGGATCATCAGGTCCCGTTTTCTGCAGGGGTAGCAGAGGCTCCCAGAGATGAAATGACTTTAGGTTCTAGCATGAGTGAGAGGGAGATCTGGGCTCGGGGGTTCCGGGCCACCAGGTGTGGTCTGCAGACAGCAAACGTGCAAGGCATTTCTCTGGTGAATTCAGAGGACGTGCACATTCCTGAGAGGGGGAGAGGGGCCTCTGGAAAAGCCCTGAGCGTGGGGTACCCAGAGGGCATCCCAGTGCCTCCTGCCCTTCACACACGGCTCCAGTCACTCCCCCTGCTGACGTTGCTGCAGAAGCCAGGGTCCCCTTTGCCAGAAGGGGTCAGGTCAGAACAGCTAACTCTCTGTCCCACCTGCTCAGCATAGCCCAAGATTGCGTTTCTGTCAAGTTTGACGTTGCTTTGCATCACATTAGAGCACTTGAAGGTTTCCCAGGCATTCGTGTTTGGTCCCTCCCAGGCTCAGAGCAGTTAAATGACTTCTCCAGGGTCCTGAGGCAAAGGAGTGCAAGTTCAAAACTAGAACTCTTGTCTTTGGCTCCCAAATCCTCTGAAGAATTCGGAAAGCATGCTTGTTAGATGCTCCATAGAGTGCCCTGATCCACAGCGAGCCACCGACTTGAGCTAGACACCCAGCCATCCTGCCAGGACCTGGGTCTGCTCGAGGTAGATCAAGGTCAGCCTGATACTCGCTCCTCAGAGCAGCTCTGTTCTCCCCCCACCACCCTGCTGACATCACTGGTGACCTCCATGAATAGAAGGGACGGAGCTGGGTGCCTTATAGCCATAATCTTTAAACCCTCATTGCACTGCTGCGTAAGAGGCTTTATCCCCGACTTGCACACAAGAGAACGGAACCGGAGAGAGGTAAAGCTGCTTGCCTCTAGACATCCAGGCAGCGCCCAGTGGGGCTGCAATCTGAAAGCTCCTACCCCAATCCTCCTGCTCTAAGAGGCCCACTCTTCCTTCTTATCCTGCAGCTGGGCTCCTGTACCCATTCCCCCGGGACTGCTCCCAAGCAATGCTGAATGGGGACACCACCTCTGGCCTCTACACCATTTACCTGAATGGTGATAAGGCTCAGGCTCTGGAAGTCTTCTGTGACATGACCTCTGATGGGGGTGGATGGATCGTGAGTATCCCCAGCTCTCAGGCCTGGGGCCTGGGGGCAGAGGGCACAGCAGGGGAGGTGGGGAAGGGGAGGGGGAGGCATGTCCACCCATGTACACAGACCCCGATGTTTGGAGGTTTTGCAAGATCGAGCCTGTCATCCAGAGACACTCAGATGCTGTCTCTGAAAGAAAGGAATGGGGAAGAAGCTGGGGGAAAAAAAACAGAAGAAAATAATTTTCTTGTAATTTATCTGATCTGATCCTCAAACAACTCTGTGATGCATAAAAATGAGGGCAGTCATAGAGCCCAGTATGTGGCTTAATTAGCATTTGCTGTCTACCACTGTGCTAAGAGTTTGATGTGAATTATTTCAATCCCATTTCTGTTTGAGCTGGATAGTATTTTTTTTAATTAATAAATCTTTTTTTTTTTTTTTAATTTGAGAGAGAGAGAGCAAGAGCATGGAGGAGGGCAGAGAGAGAAGAAGAAGCAGATTCCCTGCTGAGCAGGGACCCTGATGCGGGGCTCCATCCCTGGACCCTGGGATCATGACTTGAGACGAAGGCAGATGCTTAACAGACTGAGCCACCCAGGGGCCCCATAAACTTTATTTTTTAGAGCAAAGTGAGCATAAAGTACAGAGCGTACCCACATCCCCCTGTCCCATGTGCATGGCCTCTCTCCATATCAGCGTCCTACCCAGAGTGATGCATTTAGACCAAGTGATCCATCTTAATTTTTAATTGACCCATCATCATTTTTAATCCCTGTTTGTCAGGTGGAGGTGGCCTGCCCAGAGTCACACAGCAAGTTAGTGACAGATAGAGCTGGGGACTGGTGCTTTTCCCACAGCTCCAATGCCCTTCCTGTCAGAGAGATGCCTTCTCTTTCTTCTGAGACCTAACGTGTGCCCTGATTCTTATGTTCCAGGTGTTCCTGAGACGCAAGAATGGACGTGAGGATTTCTATCGCAACTGGAAAGCCTATGCTGCTGGGTTTGGGGACCGCAGAGAAGAATTCTGGCTTGGTAATGCACCCCTGCCTGTGTGCGTCCCAAGTGCCCATTTCTGCCCTCCTTGTCATTGTTCCTAAGCCACAGCAACCCATGGGAGAGAGAGAGAGCCTAGGAGGAAACAGTAGCTCTGGTAGTAGACACAGGATACCAACTCTTCCTTGGAAAAGACTTTAAATTCTCTAGGTCATTAAAAATAAAAATGTGGTCCAGGAAGAGCCAACAACCAGATGTGAAGGATAGCCTAGATTGAATTCATTCACTGAACCACATACAGACTCATCTTCACTGATATTATTAACTGTTTCCATCCTGGGCTCCAGGTGCTGGGATGGACCTTATAGCCATAACCTGGAACACCCAGCACCTGCGCAATCTACAAAATTCCCGGATTGCACGTGGGAAAAGAGGAATGAAGTCATGTGCTCACAAGAATCTAGCCAATAAGCAGTAGAGCTGCCACTTGAAATCTCCCCAAACACCACCACGAAGCCACCATCCATTCGTCCGTCCATCCATCCATCCATCGATCCATTCGCGCAGCAAGCACTTTCCCACAATCTCCCTGCAGGGGGCACTGTTCCGCTCTCCGGCGCCCTCACTGGGAAATGTCCATCCCCTTAGCATCCACTGCCTTCCTCCTGCAAGGGGCTTTGAAGGTTAAAAGTGCTTTCTCCACCTTATCTCCTGGATCTTCACGATGCCCTAGGAGGTGGGCAGGGCATAGATGCCACCTTGAATTTCCCTGAGGCTCAGAAACACCCTAGATTTCACCTGATGTTGTGCCAGCAAGGAGCAAACCAGACCAGACCGCAAGTCCGGGTCTGTGGGAGGCGTAACCTCTTTGTAGAGCCCAACCGCTGCTCCTACAGGGTGATGGAGTAGAAGCAATGGCCTCAGTCACTCGGGCTTCCTCTGTAACCCTCGCCTGTCCTCCACAGGGCTGGACAACCTACACAAAATCACAGCCCAAGGGCAGTACGAGCTCCGGGTGGACCTGCGTGACCACGGGGAGACCGCGTACGCCGTCTACGACAAGTTCAGCGTGGGGGATGCCAAGACTCGTTACAAGCTGAGGGTGGAGGGCTACAGCGGGACCGCAGGTAGGGGACAGCCACACGCCCCGCCTCCGGAACCACAGAAGCCTTCCTTAGGCTTTTAGCTCATTCCTCCCTCATTCCTTCCTTCACGAATCCATCCACTGATACGGTCAACAAATATCGGAATCCTTACTAGGTACTAGACCAGAACTTCAACTGGGCAGAGTAGGGTAGATACTTTGGTCACCAAAGCAAAGTAGGGTTGAGAATCAGAACAATACGTCTTTTTCTTACCCATTTTTAGATATCAACTGAGCCTGAAGACTCACTTAACCCACTGCATCTAAATGTATTTATTAAAATTTCTTGTACATTCAACCCCCCAGGGATCCCATTAATGAGCAGGTGCGGACACACTGAGGTTCTGCGTTTCTTATGGGTTCCCTGGCGCTGCCACTGTTGAGGATGCTGCTGGTCTGTGGACCCCACTCTGGGTTGCAGGCATGGACTCCTTCCCCGGCTGCTTGCATCCTTTCGAGGATACCCCTGCAATGGGGTCATCCAGCCACAGCCCCCAGACCCCATGGCCAGAAGCTCACTACCTGCCAAATGGTCCTTGTGGACCTTGTCCCGTGCATAAGCTAGCTCAGATCGTGCAGATGTCATGGACTTGGAACAGCCCCTGTGTGCTTTACCGGCTCCGCATTAGAAGAGAAGTTAGTAAGGAAGCCACACACATTCAGGCCTATGAGGGAGCCTCTCCTCTTTGCATCTGTTCCACAAGCATTACCCCCTTCCGATTGTCAGGGACACTGGTCCAGGAAGATGTCCCTGTGACACAGATGAGGACACTGTGACCCAGAAAAGCTGGGTGATTTGCCTGAGGTGGACCCAGGGGGCGGGCTTGTCGGCAGACAGGTGTGCTTCGTAATGAGGAGGGTTCAGGTCTGACAGTATCCCCACCCTTCCCTGCTCTGGGGTGGCATCGGGTTATGTCTATGAAAACAGAAAAAGCAGAAGCTGTGGTACCTCCCCAGTCTCTCTGAGCCTCGAGAGGAAACATCCATAATGGGGAGAGTCTCCAGAGAAAGATTTGCTGTCTAAGGAGAGGCTAGGCGCTTGCGAGATCAGCGTGGCGGTAGTAAACACAGAGAGCCAGGGGCCAAGATGGTTTTCATTCTTGTGTCCCTCGAAGAGGTCTGACATTTTATTACCTGGCAATAAATATCTGTTTGAGTGAAGTGGCTTCAGGCAAGAAGGATATTGTCACCGGGTGGAAGGGTGGTGGGGCGGGGGTCACTGAGCAGCGGGAATGTGGCTGCACCCGCCTCTCTCTGCCTTCATCTCCAAAGCCCCCTCAGGAAGGGGACCGTGGTAGAGCTGCTCCTGGCGGCAGCCTGCGCTCCACAGGAGGGTACCTCGTTTCCTCCATACCTACCTGCTCCTGGTCGCTTCCTCCTTAACCAGGCATCTGAGGCACTTTGAACCTTGCTTCAAAATATCAGTCCTGTCTTTCCCTCTCTGAGCCCCATTATGTAAAGGAATGCAAAACAAAATGATCAAAGCAGCGAAAATCACAGCTGTTACACGTACCCCTCTACCTTCATATCCACTGACTGTCCCCACCGCACACGGAGGTGGGCAGAATCAATGCGCTGGTTCCTTTTTCTAGAAGAGAACACTGAGGCTCAGCTGGAGGCCTGACGTGGGCCAGTCATACTGTGGAGTGAGAGCCGGACCCTCCAAAGCCATCGCAGGCCTCTTTCTGGCACATTATGCTGCTTCCAACAGCCATGAACCCTCGGGGGTTCCCCTCCAATCCTGTGCTCGACACTAATTCTGGGCCCAAGGTTCAAGGGCAGTGACCCCAGGAACTTTCAGTTGCCACCCCAGTTCTGCCCTTCCAAGCCCCTGAGGAAAACCCGTGCTGGGACTCCTCAGATCCGTATCTCCTCTCTGCAGGTGACTCCATGGCTTACCACAACGGCAGATCCTTCTCCACCTTCGACAAGGACACGGACTCAGCCATCACCAACTGCGCCCTGTCCTACAAGGGGGCTTTCTGGTACAAGAACTGTCACCGTGTCAACCTGATGGGGAGGTACGGGGACAACAACCACAGTCAGGTGAGCCAACTGTGAGGGTCGAGGGCAGGTGACAGGGGGGCACCCCAGCCCCTCGGTCCCAGCCAAGACTAGGGGGCAGCAACCTCTGGGACATGGTGTCACCTCTGTTCCTGCAAGGAGGAACCTCGGGGACACAGGAGGTTGGGTGAAATCCTCGAGACAGCACCTGTTAACCCGTGAAGATCCCAGAAAGACCACTGGTCAGTGGATTCCAAAACAGAGAGCTCTCAGCAGACAGAGCCAGAGCTGAACTCCAGAAGGAAAGCAGATTAAAGGGGAGGCGTCTAGATGATGCGGAGGCATAAGTGGGGTGTTCTTTCCACCGTATGATGTTGCCCCAGGGTACTTTCACTCTAGCATTATTGTACTACCTTTCTTTTCTCATCCCCTGCCTCCAAAGTGACACAAAGTCCTTCTGGAAACAAAAACAAAAACAAAAATGCATGCCCGAAAGGAAACTTCTTTTTCCATCCTCCCCCCTCTCCAGTGTGGGCTGACGTTAAAGGCCACGAAGGAGTTAGGGGCGCCCCGTCCCAGCTCAGGCTCTGCTCTGGCAGCTGTGTGGGCTCGGTGACCTCACTTTCCCTCTCAGGCCTCAGTCCCCAGCATAGAACAAGGAGGGTTTGCGTCCCGCTCGGCACCTCTGTCCGAGGGACGATGAGGGCAGAGGAAGGCAGACCAAGTACTTCACCAGAACTGAGTGGTTACAGACACATTTGCCCATGGGGTAAGCCAGCCATTCTCACACCCAACCTGTCAGTCGGATTCAGAGACCGTCCGCGGTCAGTGAACGCCAAACAGATTCCCATGAAGTGTCTCTATTTTCTTGCCTCATTTTACCAGCCATTAACTTCTCCAGGTCTCCTCACAGCCCCATAGTGCTAAAAAGAAGAGAGGTCAGAGAATGAGGTGGTGGCCGCCTAGAGGCACTTGCAGAAGCAGACCATCCCCACCCCCCTAACCACACCGTGGGGCAAGGGGCATTATGGGTTTTGACAGGCAGACTCTGCTATCTTTAGACTCTGTGGCAGAGTCAACATAGAATTAGGAGGTCCAGACACAAATATAATCTTTTCTTGAGGAAAAAAAAAAAATCTCTGGCCAAATTTCTAAGGATGCTTTTCCCTGTTGGAGATGAGAGAAGTCATATATACTTCGTACCTACAATGTGCCCAGCACTATGATCGCTCCCTCACAAACTCATGTAACCCTCATAGCATTCTTCCAAGGTTGGCACTTCATACCCAGAAGGGGTTGGAGGATGGGGGGGAAGGTGGTGAAACTAAAGCCCGGAAAGGTCTGATGACTGGTTCAAGACCATTTATGTCTCAAGAAAGAGCCTTAAGGTTTAACCCTATATGTCAGGTTGTAAAATTTGTGTTCTGCCTGTGTTCTTCCTGCCATTCCAGACAAACCCTTATTAAAACAGTCCACAGGAATCCTGGGAACTAGAGACTCCCCTGCATATAGCTAGTCAATTTTGTAACCTCCAAGCATGACCTGAATTCCTTCAGCACCTACTCCTACTGATGGGAGGTTTCACCAGCCACCATTTTGTTTCACAAACCACCATTTTATTTCACAAGCCACCATTTTGTTTCACCAGCCACCATTTTGTTTCACCAGCTACCATTTTGTTTCACTATGGGAGCTCAAAGCTCAATGCAAATGCAAGTGGCTTCTGACTGACATTTGAAAAACTGAGTCAGATTCAGCCAGCTCCTTTGCAAGTTCTCAGTACACGGATCAATACACAGATAGGCAATAGACAGCTGTGAGATATCAAATGGTCAGGTTCAGACAGAACTCCCTTTGTTCCCGTCAACCAAGCAGCAGTGGTCGGTGAACACCTTGTCTAGTGGAAACCTATCTGGAGGCCTTCTCTTTTTCATAGGGCGTCAACTGGTTCCATTGGAAGGGCCACGAATATTCCATCCAGTTTGCTGAGATGAAGCTGAGACCCAGCAACTTCCGAAATCTCGAAGGCAGGCGCAAGCGGGCGTAAATTCCAGGAACAACTAACTGGGTGGGAGAGGAGCAGGGCCCAGAGGAAGAAGCAAATTTTACCAAAGTCTCAATACAACCTGTCCAACCATCAAGCCACACCCGGGTATTTGGCAGGAGATAAAGGTGACCGTGGATCATGGGGGCTGATGACAGGAGCACTGGCCTCCCCTTCTCTGCGAGGACTTCCTTCGCACCAAAGACAACAGTCTCCACAGGTGTCTGTTTCATTGCTTGAATCAGCAAACATCTCCCAGTGATGGTGTTGAGGTGGTTGTCTTGGGTGGCTCTGGGAATGGGAGAGGGGTAGGCTGTACAGTGGTAGTTTGTGTTAGAACCGGCTGTATTTTACACAAAGCTGTATAAGTATCATTATTTTTGTTCGCAGTGATTCGGTGTGTGTCATGGGAGGCCGTTCCCCCCTCCCCGCCTTTTTTTTTTTTTTTTTTTTTTTTTTTACATTTCATGCAACAAAAACCAGAAAAGCAATACTGTTTGGATTTTAAGGATATGATTAATATTATTAATATAATAATAATGATGAAAACTAAGAATTTTTAAAGAGATCTTCCTTTCCAAAACACATCTGGACAGTACCTGATTGTATTTTTTTTTTAATAAAAGCACAAGTACTTTTAAATTCGGCTGTTATTGCCTTTCGTTGTTCAGCCTGAATTCCACCAAAGCCAAAGTACTTGAACAGAGGAAGGAATGCAGGATAGGAACAGAAAGGAACAGTTAGGAAGAAGGGAAGAAGAGAGGGGGCCTATAGGCTGGGAGAGAAGAAAGCACTTTTTTGAACAGAGTTGAACGAAGTTGGAGAAAGGTTACCACTTGCTCAATATTTTCAAGACTAAGAGTGTGTGGTTTCAAAGATGCTTTTATACCCATCTTCTAGAAATTCCATGATATAGATGAGGAGATAGCTGTTAACCCAGCAAGGATCAACATGCCCAGCGGCAGACTAGCTGAGTTCAAATCTTGGCTCCACCATCCCCTAGTTCCCTAATCTCTCTGTGCCTCAGTTTCCCAATCAATACTCACACTTCTTAACTCTGTAGCATTTCTGTGGAAAAAATAAACACCAGCCAGATGAGCCCCTGAACGTGGTGCCTGGTGTGGAGGAGGTGCCAGTAAGAGTCAGTTGTCTTTATGATCACTTTATATATGACGGGCTGGGGTTCATGGAAGGGCAATGACTCGCCCACAGGCTACCCACCCAAATAATCATAGGACTGGATTTTGACTCAGGTCTCTGGCCCCCATGTTCTTGCTCTCCCTCGGAACCCCGATGAAAATCCCTCCTTTCCCGAGGAAATGTGTGCCCTGAGTTGCGGAATGATGGAGTACAAAGAAGCCCAGCAGATCCTTCCTACAACCCCAAGATCTTGGAAGGAGAAAGAATGTCTGTTGGGAAGATCTCCCCCTCCCCTACTCAGCACCACCCCCACCCCATGTCACCCAGCCCTAGCCTAAATGCGTCTAGGGGTGGAGGAAACTCACTGTCCAGCACAGCAGATCTGCTTGTACTCGGGCAATATCAAATATGGGGTCAGAACCCCACATTACACATTCGTCTTTGAAAACAGGGTGGGTTGGGGGGTGGGGAGAAATTCCCAGTTCATTCTCTTGGGGATTTTCAGCAAAGGGACTTATTTAATGAAAATATTTGGGCTTGATAGGCCTCATTCAAATGGAATGTGGTGGCTCAGACTTGAGGACCAGAAAAATTTATGGCTCGGGCCAGATCCTTCGTGGCTGGGTTTATCTTGCTTTAATAAATGCTGTCTCGTTATATACACAATGGGCTGCTCCAGATCATAAGACTTGTTGCCTGCCATTCCGCCATAGCAACACTCGCCTTGCTGTGTAAACCTGAACAACCAGGCCTCAAGTGGGAGGCTTAACCCTCTGCTAGCAGCTCCCTGGGGAGGCTCTGAGAGCCACTGCCGTCCTCTCCCGGCAAATACAGATGTAAGGAAGCGGGTGAGGTACTTCCCAGAAGCCACACCAGAATCCAATTCCCCATCAAACAGGGGTCCTTAACCTGGTTGCAGAAGCCCCCAGAGGGGGATGGGCAGGCAGAAGGGCCCGAGCCAAGACACGCAGAGCTGCCCACGTCCTGGTTAAAGCATGAGCTCGCCACTCCTCAAACATGTCCTCAGTCCCCGACTCTGGGTTCCTTTAAGCAACGCCTCCCTCCTGGAAGGGGTCCTGAGACTCCGCCTTCCGGGACGCTCTCAGCTGGGAATGAATTTCCAGGGAGTCTGGCCTTCCCTTTGCCCTTCCTCCAAATGCTTCTCTCCCTTCCCCCTGCTTGTACCCTTCAAGGCCACCCTGCATGGATTATGTCAAGGGACCTCCGTGCCCTCAAGTTTCTGGTTGGCTATCAGAATGGGAAGTGCTGAGACACTGGGGGGTGGGGCGAGGGTGTTCAGGGTCCTTACTTTCCAGCGCCACCTCTGTGGCATCACAGGGGCTGACAGTTTCCCTCCTAGCAGAGGCACAGCTCCTGTCCATGGGCCATCCCCACTCAGCTCTCTCTCCAGCTGGAGGAAAACTGTCCCCTCTCAAGTCCCTTCAGGCCTGAGGATGGTCCCACACCTAGCCACTACCAGCCCTGGGATGGTGTGACCCCCTGTGGCTCTCCTTCTCTTCGTCTGCACCGCTGGAGACAGTCCCTCTTCTCCTGCCTCTCCTGGGGACCCTGACAGACAGGCCCCTTCTCTGGGACACTGGGAACCACTGTTGTCACTGGCTGCTGTCCCTACACCATTCTTTCCACTCCCGCCTCCCACCGTGGAAGCCACAGGGGAAAATACTCCCTCCCACTCCCCGCGGGAGCTGGGGCATGTAACTTGAACTCTGTCCACTGGATACCTGCAGAGGGACTTCTAGCCTTGAACAAGGAATGCAAATCAAAGAGCCTAGGAGGCTGGTTTCCCCATGACCACCACAGTGTCTGCCCACATATCCCCATCTATTGGGACAATCCATCCCACCTTCTCCCTTTCTCAGCCTGCCCCTCCCATGCCATTCTTCTTCCCACCATTCCCTGCCAACTCCAAGTATGGGACGGGTGCGGGGGGTGTCTCGTGGGCTGTGATGATCGACTCTCTTCTCCCCCAGGATTCTCTTTTCCCCTTTCTGTTTCAAAGTCAGTACAGAATAACCCCCCATCGGTCCAGCACGAGGTGAACAACGTAACCATGGGCCCTGGTCTCTCAGGAGCTTCCATGCCAGGGGAGGCTGGCAACAGCCACCGCACCAGACATGCAAACTGAGGGTATGCTTGGGAAGCAAAGCCGAGACACTACAGGAATATCTAACGAGGACCTGAACCTGACTGGGAAGGGTTCCCTGAGAAAGGACATCTGAATCGTGACCTAAACAATAAGTAGGAGTCAATCAGGGAGGAAGACAGGGAAAGTAGAGGGCAGGGTATCTCTAGAGGCCCTGAGATGGCCAGACTGTGCAGAAAGCCAGCCAAGAATCCTGTTGACGGTTCTTCCACTCCAGGATAAGGATTTCAGTCTTTTTTCTTTTCCTTTTTTTTTTTTAAGTTTTATTTTTTTATAAACGTAGAATATATTTTTATCCCCAGGGGTACAGGTCTGTGAATCGCCAGGTTTACACACTTCACAGCACTCACCATTCAATCTTTTTTCTTAAGTGCAATGGGAAACTGCTAAGGAATTCTAAGCAGGGGAGGGTTAGGGCCCTATCTTTTCTCCAGGCCATCTTTGGGATGGGAAGTGCCACAGGGGCCCATGGGAAAGGTGATGGAGTTTCAGTAGGCATGTTGTCCTGGAGATGGGGCATACAGTTCTGAGAGATGTTTAGAAGGAAAAACCCACAGGACGTGGGGTCCCATAGAGCTGCTCCTCATCCACACCCCAGTTCCAGAACTTCTCTCAGTTCCTGCAGGGGCGTCTTCTAGAATCATCTCCAGTGTCTCATTAGGGGTGTGTGGAGCTGGAGTCAAGGCCCCCTGAGCCCTAAGAACCAAGGTGGGCTGCAGGGTCCCATAGTACCAGGCCTGACTCCTGGGACTTTGGATTGGGGGAGGAGGGGATCAGGGAAACTCCTTGGAGGTTACTGTTAGAATGGCATTAATGCCATAAGGTGAAGGTGTGGCGGAATAGAACGTGTGAAGGGGTGGGGGGCCTACCCGGAAGGATTTATGTCCTGTGAACGCAGCTGAGAGTTGCTGATGGTGTTTAAGGCAGGAGTGACAACATCAGTGTTGCTCTCATTCTCATGCTAGAAAGGCATTTGCTCCTGCCACCCTGTCCTCTGGCCTCAGTGGGGTCCTGGACATCCTCATAGGTGGCCCCCCCACACACACACACCCAGGCCCGGATTCCAGCGGGTGTGGAATCTTTGTGGCCAGCAGAGGGCTCCCTCCCCTTGTCCTCCTCCCTCCACTACCAGGCCCACAAGTGAATTTAAAGCTCAGGAAGGAAGCAGGAAAAGGCTCTCCTCTTGAGAATCACTCCAACCTCGCCAAGACTGGAGAGTAGATTTCCGTGTGTTACAGAAACACACACACACACACACACACACACACAAACACACACGATTCTATATGAGCAGCTCCCATTAGCCCAGTACATGTGCAGCTGCAGGTAAAGGAACTGTTTCAGAGCAGTGAAATGACTTCTCTGAGGTTCACTTGACCTTGAAGTGCCAGAGCAAGGACTGAAATCTTGGATCTTCTGACTCCTTAGGCCAAGCGCCTGGAGAAGCATCTGTCGGCGTACTTACTCCTTTCTCCGTTCTTCCGTTCGGCATCCAAGGAACCCCCATCATAAGCTGGTTCCCTCATAACACTTGACAGTTTGCAAAGCCAGTGTGATTGTAATTCTTGAAAGTCATCTTTGCAGTTAGAGCTGAGCTTGAATCCCGTTTTCCAATTACCGAAAGATCTTGGTCGAGCAGCTTAATTCTTCTGAGTATCCCGAAACATTAGGATGAAGATGATATACACTGATGAGAAGCTGTGATGCTTTGAAAGAGAAAAAACAGACAGCTGCCTGGCCTGGAGAAAATGCCAACCACACACTTCCCTCTCTGACGTGGATAGACCCTCGTTCAAAGCTGAGCATCAGGGTAATTACTCAAGTCAGCCAGCAGATGGCAGTCTCCCCCAGCTTTCGGAGAGCACCCCATGAGGCACTCCTAGCAGATGTGTTCAGGTGGCTGGAGACCCGGGGCTCCCAGACACCTCCAAGGAAACACGTCCACCTTCACTCCAATCCCCTGCTCCCTAAGAGGTTCAAATCCCACCCAGGGGCAGCAGGACATGGCAGGCTGTCTCTTCTGTTTTTGTCTCCCCCTCGGCTACACAAAACCTTATGTCAACAACCACAAACCTTGCTTACCACCTTTTACATCAGGGTGTGGGGATAGGAATGTGGGGGACAAGGAGGGCAGGCTTCTGGCCCACGTGTCCAGAATGTTCAACAGCTCCGCTGTAGTGATGTCTCCTCACTAACTTACTTTCCGTTACGAATCCCTTATCGTTGGGAGGGAGGGACAAGCCCCCACAATTTCTACCATCCTATGCTGGCTCCCCGGCTTTCCCCTGGCCCTTCAGCCTCATGACTTCTCCTTTGCTACAGCATACATAATGTT